AATCCTTCTCCTTCCCCGAGCCCTAAAACGATAATCCCTTAAAGTTCGGCAACGCACCCTTAACTCCTCCATCGTGGGTGTCCATGAGCGGCACTCTAGTTGCTTACTATCAGGTAATCTGTCTGTTCGTTTGCCGACCTATTACATAAAAAAAACATCAGATCTTCCACTCTCTCGTCTCGTTTACAGCACTAACTCTTAAAAAACAATTAGGTATTAATACCCAAGAAGTTGCTATACACTTCTATCAGTCGTATTTGATACTGGCGCACTCGACGCTCATAATAAATGTCGGACAAATCTCACATAGTGAAAGGTCGACTCATGGGAAGCAGAAAGCATTCGCGTCAACCAGCGCCTTGACAGTAATTACAATGGACGACAGACGACGCATTACATGTTACAAGATGTCCCATGACGTAATGCTCGGTTGTTTTGTTTTTCTTTCAATACGAAATAATATTACATAAAAATATTTTGTACTAGCTCGTGCCTTCACCCGCGTGTATGATGATAATAGTAGCCAATTAGTCCAGTCGTTTTAGCGCGAAAAATATCAATCCTGCGTCCATACTTTCTCATAAAAATGAGAAAGTATGGACACACACACTACACTATTCACAATTAGGCCACATTTGAACGTCAAGCAAAAAAGAAAAAAATATATTTCAATAGGTTTAAATTTATGCGTGTCAGTCTGTCCATCTGTCCTCTAGTGAAGCTATTTTCTCGTTCGAAAGTGTAGATTCCTATGGAGAAGAACGAGCAAGAAACTCCATGATTACTCTATCTGAATCAGTTCTCATTCATAATAGCAGTAATATAGTAGGGTAGGATATTAGCACGATTTTTCTTTTTTCTCAGTTTAATACAATAATATACATATTAATATAAGTCTACAGTTTTTATAAATTATTCTAGATTATGCTTGCTTTGTCAACCTACCTTGTTTATCTCTGCATCACACAAAGGTTTAACTGGTAGAGACTGCCCATGACAATTAGTCCTCTGTATAATGTACTATATTTTTTTTAATGAAGCGTATTACAGTTTTTATAGCTATCAAGACAAATTTCAAACGTACAAGCAATGAGGTTACTCCATTTTTGAGGACGCTGGCAAAGTCCTATAAAACTCTCTAGTGTCTGATGCTTGTATTAGTATAACCTTCTTATTTTAACTATGTTTTTTTATGATATAAGTTGGCAAACGAGCAGACGGATTACCAGTTGGTAAGCAATCGGCGCCGCCCATGGACGCCAGCAACACCAAAGGAGTTACGAGTGCGTTGCCGGCCTTTTGCCGGGATAGGGGTTATGGATATAAGGATGGGGAAGGGGCGGGATTGGGCCTCCGATAACTTCACTCACACAGCGAAACACAACGCTGTGGTTGTTTCACGCCGGTATTCTGTGAGGCCGTGGTATCACTCCGGTCGAGCCGACCCATTCGTGCCGAAGCTTGGCTCTCCCACACCTAATATGTATAAAATGTAAGCCTTTATATACATTCAGCCAGGGTTGTGACTCAAGCGTGTATGTACCACAGTTCGGGCTTAAAGCAGGAGGATGGTCGGTGTAGTTTTTAGTCAGTAAGAGTCTGAATCTCCCTCTCACCCTATCCAAAGCGAGAGAAGTAATTTGATGCTTCTCTCCCTTACTTATGTACGAGTAAAGGAACCTCCCTTCAAAATTACTTGTATTGTAACTCCAGCATCGTCCAAGCTATGTTTACCCTAAACTTTGTATTACCAAGTTCGTAACAATAAGGTTTGTTCCCTGACAGGTATCACAACAGACACCAAAACTATTACAAGTTAATTCCACGTATCCCTGTCAGTTTCATTTTATTCTACATTCACAGATATTCACTGAATTTTACCTAATTAGCAGTTAGAAGTTTGATAATTTATACCCGGCCCTTAGGTCTACGTAAAATTTAACGTTTCGTAACTTTATATTTAAATTTTGTAATGTTACTTATTTAGACAGATCGCACACGTGTTTGAATGTGATGTAAATTTGAAAAAAGAGCCTATAATCTATACTTATAATCAATCTGGAGAGAGGTCAGTTCTGTACCTAAAATGTTATATTTTGAAAATAACTACCAGAGGGTGATAAGTGATCGATGTTGATGCCAAAAATGCAATCAGTAATTTTTTTTTCTGTCTGTGTATCTGTCTGTCTGTCTGTATGTGCCGCTGGCGGAAGCTAGTAATTAGTAAAGAACGCGCCTCTAGAGATTTGAACAAGTCCAGCAGTTAAGTAATATTTAAGCGCATGTAAGTTTTGGTATTTTTCTTTAAGCTTTTTTTGTATTAATTTTTTTTTTACAAATTTTAGAGTATGTGACAGCCATGGTTCGAAGCTAATGGACCAACTCAACTAGAGCAATGTCACGACCACTCAGAAAACTAGCGTGAAGCAAATTTAAAAATTTCACTTTGCGAGTAAGGTGATTGAATGAGTATTTCTTTCCACCAACGGGATGGCGGAATACCTGATGGTAAGCAATCGGCGTCACCCATGTACACTCGCAACACCAAAGGAGGTACGAGTGCGTTGCCGGCCTTTTGGGGATAAGTGTTGTGGATATTTCCGGATAGGGAAGGGATAGCGGAGAGGCAGGAATTGGGCTACCGGTGACCTCGCTTACACGGCGAAACACAACGCTGTGATTGTGTCACACCGGTTTCGTGGGAGGCCGTGGTATCACTTCGGTCGAGCCGACCGAAGCCGAGCCAAGTGTAAAAACTGTATTATGTACCTACCTGTGTTCTACAATTAATAAATGAATTTGAATTTGAATTTGAATTTGAATTTAAATTTGAATTTGACCCATTCGTGACAAACACTTTAACTCCCTACTGATGAACTTTCCCTCACGAAATAAAAAGTTCCTTAATTTACGGTAAGTCTAGGTAAAGACAAAAATAATAGTTTGCTATGGTTATGAATCGGGTTATCACGCACAGTTGATAAAGGCACCTTTAGGACATTTACAAACAACGCAGAGGTAAAAAAATACACAAATTTATTCTCCTGTCTTACGTTAAAACACCTTAATTGCCCACCTTTTGTTTGCTCGTCAAATTTAACCTCCTTACTTAGCCAACGAAGTCATTTTACACGAAAACATTTCAAAAGTGTCACAGTAAAAGTTTGGATTACCGTCATTACAACGTGCGTGGTAAACATAAATGTGTTATTGCATATTAAAACTTGTTACAAATGCCATAAGCGTTAATTTATGTTGATCTCTAGTTGCTCAATTTTGAAAGTTGAGAATTATGGATATAGCGTTTAGGTGGGAATTTTAGCATGGCATAATTACATCTAACATTATTTTATTTTCTTCTTCTAAGATTATTCCGAATCCCTAAAATCTGTGTGTGTGTGTGTAGCTCTTAAACTGAACTGAAATGAACGTGTCATTTCAGTTCAGTTTAAGAGCTATTAAGAATGGCTCAAACTCCCATAAGTGGGATCCTTAACAAAATCACTTTTGAATTACGTATGTCAACTATCTTAAATAGTTACCCATTGTAGTTACCTGTTTCATTTTGCAATGACAGGCTCCTTGACGTAAAAAATCTTATGTCGAATAAGGTGGAATGTTGCAATTGCACACAAGTTCATAGAAGGAATATCGTTCTTGATATTCCAATAAAACTAATTGAAAACTATTGGAAAGTACCGTGTTGCTGTTATCAGATTTAGGGCTGATTTTTCAATAGTAACATAAATGTTATCTGAGGAATAAAATTGTTGTTGTCACTGTCTTATACAAACATTTTGATGCGACAGCATCATAATTATGCCGCAGATTACTTTTATCTAACTATTAAAAAATCAGCGCTTAATAGAAAAAAAAAACATCTTGATCTTTATCGCAATCAAAACTTTTCCGTTGTTCTAATTTAATAGTTGGAATACTTATAACCTACAGCTAATATTTTGACCATAAAAATCACATAAAATTTTTGTTGTCCACGACCATAAAGAAAAAGAAGTTTCATTTTTATGACACTAGCGATGAAAATATTATTTTTTATTGCGTGTGACACATTCTTTTTGACAAGAGGATGGATTGAAGATATTAAAGACTTTTTTTGATAGACTAAGGTAATAAAAATTGCTAGTTTTTGCCTCAAGGGTGAAAGTGAAGACTTCATACGATTGGAAGGTTATTATTATTATCTTAAGCTATAAATGCTGAATGTTATTTTTTAAACTTACTTTTTTTATTTTGTAGTATTAAGGTGGGCATTGATTGGTCGTTGACTTACTTTTAAATTGAAATTGTTCTATTTAACTTATTATTATGCAAAATCCCATTATTTGCTTTCCTTTCCTTAAATAAGCATACGTAGTTAAATTCAAAAGAAATATGAAAACACGGAATCGTTAGTCAACATAATATGGGTTGATATGTGGTTGATATACACTTATTTTTTTATTCCTGCCATCTGTCAAGTATAAGGAAAAGTACAACCCTCTCATAATTGAAATATTTCTAACGCCATCCACTAGATGGCACTGTTAACAAATTCGTACAATTTTCCCTTTATTCCCACAGTTTACCGCTCAACGTTGTTTCTCTACCTCAATTTAAGTTTGTTCGAAACGTTGTTACTAGATGTAGTAAAAATGAACATTATTAAGAAAGTCTGAAGAGGGACTTTTTACCCTTTCTTAATATCTTTCAACCCTTTTTGTTACTTGAGGTGGGAAAATAATTCAATGGATCTTCTCGCCCAGATTGGGGTCAGCGGGTATGCCACGGCTCTTCACTGACTAATACCATCCCGTCCCTTCTCTTACTCCAAGCCGAGGCCGTGGTACATTATATTGTATACTTGACCCACAACTCGGGCTCAAGCATTTAGAAAACAAAGTTATAAATTGTAATTATTACGAGATTATCCTATTAAGGAATAAGGTGTAAAAAAATCTACAATTTCATGTACATTAATATTTTTATTATAAAAATAATATATCACATCACATTACAAAGCTCTCACTATTGTAATACTTTTACGCTTTCTTTGAGCGAGCTGGATCATTCAATTCTGCTCCAAACACATTCAGAAGAAACACTTGATAATCTTCTGCTTTGACTGCGTAAGCCACTCTGACATTCGCTTTTTCTTTTTCAACGAAATCGTGTTTCATTATACCTCTTTTGTCACCTGAAATTAAAGTTACTGTAAGCTTTCTTTTGTTTTCTTTTTCATACCTTTTGTCGTGAGTAAAAAAAACTTCAGCTAAGTCTAGTTTATTTGTCGAAGTTTCTGATCTGATCCGACTTAAATTAGATTTTTTTATATAAGGATTTATCACACAAGGTTTTTCCACGCTAATTTATTTTTGGAAAGACGAATAGAATGAATTGAGAGTTTAACGAATGATTGATTCTTAAAGAATATTTAACAAAAGAACAAAGCAGAAAGGCAATAAATAAATAAATGCCTGCAAACGAGTTGATTAATGCTCATATCTTTCAGAAAAGGTCTTTGCTCAGCAGTGGGCACTTGGATGATGATGATGATGGTGATGATGATTATGGTTATGGTGAAGACGATGACAATGATGATGGTGATGATGATTATGATGATAATGACGAAAATTATAATAATGATGATGATGATGATGTTCAATAGTCAGATAAATGTTGTCTGAGGAATAAAATTGTAGCTGTCATTGTCTTATACAAACATTCTGACACGACAATGTCATAATTATTCCGCAGATAATTTTTATCTAAATATTGAATAATCATCATCATTGGATCAGATTATGATGGTGGTGATGATTATGATGACGGTGAAGACGATGACGATGATGATGGTGATGATGATTATGATTATAATGATGACGATAATGATCGTGAGGATGAGTATGATGATGGTGAAGACGATTACGATGATGATGGTAATTTTGATAATGACGATGATGATGATAATGATGATATTTTAATACAAAAAAATATCTTACCACAAACATAAACATCGTGCTTTGAGTATTTGTATTCGGCTACTAAATCTGGCCGCAGGTAGAGTGCCACTGTAGCTGGATCCAGTGCCTGCCAGGTCTCTTCGTTCTCTAGAGCTATCCTCTCGTACTTATTTTGTTCTTTTATTATCTCCGTATCAATTTTTCCAAGAGTGTTAAATCTCCAATCCTGATACACAGACATTTAAAAGTTAGACAAAACTTTGTACACTGTAGATACAAATTTATTAATATGTCAGTGGCAAAAACGGATTTTAATTTTAATAATTTACAAGGGTCGGATTTATACTACGGCTACAGACTCGAAGTGGCTTAAATCGAATATCGAAGTCCATTTAATAAAACAATATGTATTTTAGCGTTATCATTACAGCGTAATCAACGGATTACTTTAAAGATTAAAAAAATCTATTTGGATGAATTCCTTTCAAATCATACCGAGACTTGCAAGAAATTGAAAAAATACGTATGTGATTATTATAACTTTCGTGAGACATTCTAAATTTTCGACAGTCGCGCTGCTACACACACTGACAGTCGCAGAGTCGCGTGTCGCGGAATGCTGCTCATGAATACTCATGAATACTCGACTAGTTTCAAGCCATGCTAGAGGCCTATGGGCCTCTAGCATGGCTTGAAACTAGTCGAGTATCTCGTCAAATTATTACGTGAGTAGGTAAGCCGAAAACACAATAAATAAAATATGTGTAATTGTAAATTTTGAAGTTATTTAATTTACTTCAATCATGAAGCAGAAAATATATGTAATCTAAAATTTTGTATAGGTACTTAGGTACATGTTAAATTGACATGACCATGAATCTTTTTGCTGAATGACTATACTCTAAATCATATGAATTACTCCGTGGAATTACTATACTCTAAATCATATTTATAACGTCGTGGTGGCCCTGATGTTAATGGGCCCGCTTCTCATGCATGAAGGTGCGGGTTCGAAACCTGGCAAGTACCAATGTGACTTTTCTGAGTTATACGTACTTTCTATGATTATTTAGACACCACTGACATACAGTCAAGGTAAACATCGTGAGGAAACCTGGACATATAATTTCCAAATATGAGTTTGAAATCGCCAACCCGCATTGAGTAAGCGTGGTGATTAATGCTCAAAACTTCTCCATGTGAGAAGAGGCCTTTGTTCAGCAGTGGGAACTTATAGGCTGATCATGATGATGATGATGATGAAATCATATTGACACACAGGATAAAATTTTGTTTTAAAAAAGTGATTTTAATAGTAACAAAAAAAAATTTAATATCTTTTCACTTACCTTGCTAAAGGTCAGGTATTCCTTTGTTTGTGAGAAGGGAAAGATGGTGACTTTATCAGGAGTAGCGTTCTTAACTACTATGTGGTACGCCTCCACATCCATTCGAGCATTGAACTCCGGCAACGGGTACTTTTCACCTACCGAATAAAACATATTATTAAAAAATGAAATAACACTTAATCAGTGTGGCCCTATGGAGGACGCCATAGTGTAGCCAATTTATTTTATTTTTGATTTAGCGCGGATGCTATGCTCATACTGAATTTCACCACTCTTCAATGGATGTTATTATACTTGGCAGCCAACTGTTGGCTGCGCGTCGCCGCGACGGGCACGCTTTTTTTTGTCATGGGAAAATAATCAAATGACTTCTCCCGCCGGTTAGGCGAGAGAGAGTATCAGACTCTTACTGACCCCCCATTCCTTCTCCTGCTCTGGGCCGAGGCCACGGTGCCTCATTGCGCTTAACCCGCAACCCCGGCTGTACATCAGCCCTATAGGGCCCCGTCTGTGGTGGTCCATCGGCTCTTTGAGGCGCGCGCGGGATTCTACGCGACGCGACGTACGCTCGGGGCGACGCGTACGCTGCTCATGAATAACAGTCTCGTTTTGACTTGAAACTAGTTGAGCTTTCCTCAGTAAAGTTATTTCACGTGAGTAAGTCGTTATTTTCAGTAAACTTAGTATGTCTCCCGAATGTTTCTATTCTAAAAAACTATATTATTGTATGTAAAAGTTCCTCTTCAATCACTTTATCCATTAAATAAACCGAATCATAATCCATTGCGTAATTTTAAAGAATCAAGCATACATATCATAGGATATAGGGACAAAGAATGTGACTTTCTTTTATTTGATGTAGTGAAAAGTAAATTAATTGAATAATAATTATCTTACTTTGAATGTGTCCGGCGCCAATATACAAGTGGTTCAATCTCGATAAGAAGTTAGGATCCAGTTTGACAGCCAACGCGACGTTTGTTAGCGTACCAATAGTAATCACTGTCAGGTTACCTGTAAAATCATAAAATACAGTCATTATTTTCCGTTCTTCCAGCTATTTTATCCGCTTTACTTTCCAAAGAAACAGCTGAAAATTGTAATTATATATAATTTCTGTAAAAACTGATTTTCTTGGGCTATAATAAGAAACAATGAATCGAAACTATATTTCATGAAAGACTAGCTACTCTCACGCGGTTTCACCCGCTGATCGGGTCACTGCTCCATTTAATCGTAGCGTGATGTTTTACTGTCTATAGCACTCGGGAACATTGCAGCTATCTATCAGTGAAAGAATTTTGGCAATCTGACCAGCGGTTCCGAAGATTACCCCCTACATACAAACTTACAAATTTTACCTCTTTATAATATTAGTATAGACATAGAGATAATTATAAAAATAAACAACAGCTAACCTCGAATATTATATTTAACTAACTCAGCCTGGGGAAAATTGAGAATTAAATCGTATGAACCAGCAGGATCCAAAAACATATTGATAAACGTTTGCCAATTTTATTAAAATAGTGATGAATGTTTAAAAATGATCAATAGGTATATGATAATCAAATTTACTGCGGATACCTTCATAAAGCTTAGAGTAGTTAATAAGGGCGTTAACAGCACTTTCAGTCTGCGCTGGCACCAGATCAGAGTAGGTTTCTCCAGTGTCCCCCAGTCCATCAACACCATAATAATCCGTTACTGACGGAGTTGTAACTATAGATTCTTTGGAACCCCTATATATTGGTACCTAGAAAATAAAAAAAAAAAATATTTTCCTACCTACTGTTTGTCAGCATAATATCTGTGCCGTATGGTTTTTTGTTTTTGATAATGGGTCAAAAGAGCGGAATTATTACTACTATTACAGAGAAAATATTCAGTTTGAGAATAAGTAGGGTTTTAGAGGTTAAGGGATTGGAGATGAATGATGTCCAAAAACCGACGCCGGACCGTATCGCCGACACACATTGTTTACACGCTTGTGTTAGTGGTTGCTCGTCGAGCCTTACCGTGCGTGTAAAAATTTACCATTACAAGACGCCCATACTAATTTTCAAAATTAAAAACTAAATATACACCATTATGCGTTGTGATATTTAGAAATGCGCCGTATATTTTTCATTACGATTATCAAAATAAGAGCAAAAAAACCGAAGCGTCCTGACACGATAAAAAAAATTAAAAGCCATTATTAATTAATACCTATATTTCTTCAAACAATTATATTAACTGTAGATCAGTAATTGAAATCGAGACCGAGGTTGTGACGTTGATCTCGATTAATAATTCTTATCGACCATCCGATGTCATAGTTCAACAAATTGAAGTCGGTTAATAATGTATTATTGTTACTGTAATACGTATAATCAGTTATAGAAAAGAACATAATAGATTACATAATGCCCACGTGGTAAATAATTAATAAAAAAAATTATGTGCATGTTCAAAAACCTATCTACACTATAATGTTATAAACAGAAAAGATTTTGTTTGTATGTTTGGAATGTATATGCTCTGGAACTACTTGAAAGATTTGAAAAATTGTTTCATTGTTGGTAAGCTACGCAATTCTTCAATACATCCATCCAAACTGATATTATAAATGCGAAAGTAATTCTGTCTTTCTGTCTGTCTTTCTTTTCTTCACGCATAACCATCTGAGCCGATTTCTTGTTTTAAAATAATAAATTTGGTACAGAAATAGTAGTTTGGAACCCGAGAAAGGACATAGGATAGGTTTTATACCAAAAATGTGCAGGAAGTCACTATTCAACGCGAACGGAGTCGCGGGCAAAAGGTAGTAAACTATAATTTTCTTTATTTTTTGCACTCATCATCATGTGCATCGTCAATCACACGATGAAATCGTGTGTCCTGTTATCTCAGTTACTCCCTCGTTTTGAGAGGCATAAATCAGCAAACATATCCGTCCTGGGCGGAATGAGAGGAATGTCAGACTCTTGCTGACTTAAAACCACGTCCATTCTCCTGTTACTGGCTGCCATTACCAACAGTCCGCCAGGATTTAGCGACTCTTGCGAGGTTTACTTGTAATGTGTGTAGAATCATGTTTTATTGTTAAATGGAAGGTTACTTACATCTTGTCGTTTGGCAACTCTTAATACTTTTTGATTGTTGTGATAAACATTGTCTTCTTTCGTGTTTCCATTTGCTGTCGTCAATGCTACTAACTTTGGTCTGAAATAAACAAATTTAATTGATATGATAAATGAAAAAATATTTTCGAGCTATTAAAATAGGTACCTACTAATTCTAAAGCTTTTTTAATCAACGTATAATATATTTTTGTAACGAATGTCCCACATAAAAAGATTATCAAAAAAAAATTGACACACATAAATGCAAACTTAATCATTTTATTTTTAACCGGATTGACTTGTGCCTATGTTGTCTCACAATAATTAACCTAGTTGAATGTCGCTATATAAGACACATTATAAAATATATTATGTCTCGTCATAATCCACGTCTAAAGCACACGAAAGTTTACACAATGTTACCACTACACTATCGTTCATTACACATCGACGCAACACATGTTTTTTTGTCGAGAGGCAGCGGTGCCTCATTACGCTTATCCTGCAAGTTTGGCTGAACTACAGCCTTAAGAGCCCCATCTGTTGTGGTCTATTGGCCCTTTGAGGCACGCGCGAAACGCTACGCGCTATACGGTTGGGTTCATGATTGTAATATAATACAAATCTTACCCATCAAAATATTTCTCGTATAGCAGACCCAGGAATATGGCCATCGCATCATCTCCACCGGCATCATTGTCGATTATAAATTTCGGTTTCTTGTCCTCACTCGATGAACTGTGACAAAACAAAGTTATGATTAGGACATTATTTTGTGAATTCTTGACATGACTACTAAGGTGGAGAAAAATCAAAGCTAAAGAAAAAATGTACTTAATAGAAGAGTCAGAACAAAGTTGAGGAGGAACATTTAATTATACATTAAGTAATATATTATTTGAGGAAAATGAATGTCTTATTAAAACACGGCGTTGGAAAGATAGCTTATTCTTTATAGAAAGGCAACAAAACTTGTAAATCTTCTGCTATTGCTTACAATCAGGTAATACGCCAGGTCAATTGCCATAAATAAGTCTTTAATATAATGGAACTAAAGGCAAATACAAAAAAAAAGAAAGAAAGAAAGAAAGAAAGAAAACTGTTTTTATTCGGACCGAGACATGTAGGCCAAGAACAAACAAAAACATACAACAATAAAAAAAAAACAAAACAATAAAAGTTTAAAGTAACAGGACAACAAAATAAAATAAAAATAAAATTAATCAAAACAATAACGTGAAAACAGCCTAAAAAATACATTAATACAACCCTGGGTTGGCGGACATGCCCAATCCGAATGGGTCGCCAACTCAGCAAAAGCTGGGCACGGAGCACCCAACACTGATTTTCAGTTGGCACCCCTGCAGTGACGCACGGACGAATGCAACACATACTATCTACTAGTTACTAGTAATTAGAGCATCTTAATCTGCATTATGACAAAATATCTTAGTTTTAAGACTTGCGGGCTCTAGTGATCAGTCCAGGGGAAAATAAAAGAAACGAGATAGATAAGAATATTATAATACTAAAATATAATTAAATAGTGATATGTTAAATATAAATTATTTTTTAAGATTACTTTTTACATGTTCAATAGTATATATATTTTTTTAATATAGGTAAATATATGTCATAATTTAATGTTGGTACTTGAAAAATAATACACCATAAAATCGCAACAATAATCTTGGAAGTTGCGGGTGAGCAGGGTGTCGCATTGTTACTTAAATACTGCTGCACAGTTTAACGCTCATTTGCACCATAACTACGCGCACCATCACTACGATGGTATTGAGTTACTATTGAGGGAAAAACCAGAATTTTGCGTGACGTGAAACTGAACAAATGCTATGATAATCGGCGATCAACTCTCGCAACAAAACTCGAGCGGTGACGGTGAGTCCTTTATTTATTAAATAAATATAATTATGTGAATATAATAGTGAGGAGTAGGTATAGAAAAAATATTTTTTAGTAATATGTGATTGCAGATATTTAATTGTAAATTAATGATAGTGTTAATAAATAATACAAAAGTAAACATTAAATAAAAGACAGGTCAATATTTATTTCGGCGCTATTGATTTGAGAAGTTAGCACAAACTCTTTGAGCTTTCTTCTGAAAGTACCTATACTTTGCAAATTCCTAATAGGCGGGGGGATATTGTTCCAGCACTTTGACGCCGCATACCTGAAACTACCTCTAAACGCAGCGGTTTTATGCTGCGATATAGCCAGCTGCTGCGCACAACGCCTACCCTCTCGCTGGCGATGTGCATTCACCCACGAGAGCTTCGAGTAGAGGTATGACGGGCATTTACTTCTTATGACACCAAAGAGGAGACAGGCTAGATGAAGCTTACGACGTGACTTCATTTTTAACAGATTGTGTTTATTTAAATAAGGGGTAATGTGACCTCTTGGTGGTATTTTGAAGCAAAAACGCGCACAAGCATTTTGAACTCTCTGTATCACTCGTTTGGTTCGCGATAGGAGTCTAGGGCCAATAACCGTGTCCGCGTAATTTAATTTCGATAGCACCAGAGACTCAGCCAACTGCACACGCAACTCCTCACATAAGTATGCTCGCATCTTATACAGTACTTTTAGACGGTAAAAGCAACTTCTGACGCAATTTGAGACATATGATTCGAATCTAAGGCCCTGATCCATAACCAAACCCAAATTTTTTGCCTCAAAAACACGTTCGACGATTTGGCCCTTGAGCAACAAGTTAGCGTTGCTCGCAGGAATCCTGTGCAATTGAGCATTTGTTCCAAACAGCATATATTTGGACTTGGATGGGTTGAGAATGAGACAATTACCACTCGACCAATCAAAAATTCTGTCAAGATCCTCAGTAATGAGCTTAACCGCATTATCGTACTCTTCCGGTCTGAAAGAGAAATAAATTTGGAGATCGTCGGCGTAGATGTGAAATTTGCAATTATTAATTACATTACTAATATCCGCACAGTACAATATGAACAGTGTCGGTCCCAAAATTGATCCCTGGGGCACCCCCTTAGTCACGGGTTTCACACGCGATCTCAGAGTGGAACCATTCGCATCACGGACCTCAACAAACTGGGCACGATCACTGAGATAGCTGTTGAACCATTTGATCGTCGAAATGTCGAAACCGTAATACGCCATCTTGGAGAGCAGTAAGGATAAGTTGATGGCGTCAAAAGCCCTCGAAAAGTCCAACAGGACTAACATAGTGCACAAACCTTCGTCCTGTGCTGACAATATATTGTCAGTGACGTCCAATAAAGCCGTTGCCGTACTACGACCCCTTCTAAAGCCCGACTGCACCTCCGGCAGAGCACCGCTATTCTCGAGAAATTTAGTCAACTGCTCATTCACCACCCTTTCCAGTACCTTCGATAATAGCGGTAAAATACTAATAGGCCTCAGGTCTTTGAGATCGCGGGGGTTGCTTGTTTTGGGTAACGGACGCACGATTGCAAGCTTCCAAACCTCTGGAAAGGTCGACGTTATAATAGAATTATTAACAATATTGGTTAATATGTCAAGAGTCTGCGGAACAGTCATTAAAAACATTTTTAATGTAATGTGATCACAACCTTCAGCATTAGATTTAAGATTAGTCAATATGTTCAAAATTTTACTACTGTTCGTGGTTTTGAGGGTGAAAGTATAATCTGATAATTTATGAAATTCAAAATAAGTGAGATATGATAATGGTACGTTAGTTTCGCCGGGTACATGCAAGAAATTGTCGTTGATTTTATCTGGATCGTTAAAATGCGGAGGTAGATCCATATTATTATTAGCTGGTAGCAAAGTGGTTTTCAAATTTTTCCAGAGGATTTTAGGTTGATTTATATAGGTATTGATGTTGACCTTATAGTAAGCAACTTTTTCATAATAAATGGATTTATTCACCAAACTCTTCAGATCCAAGTAATATTGTTTTTTATTACTTAGGGATTTATTTTCCAAATAACGTCTGTACGCCTTATCTCGAAGGTTCATCATGAACTTAATGTTGTCCGTGATCCAAGGGGGAGATTTTTCTCTTATTGTAACAGTCTTACGGGGTGCAAATGAATCAAATACTTTTAATAGATTGTTGCAAAGATACTGAACCATAACGTTGACGTCACGCGAAGCCACGGGCTCCTGCCAGTTGATCGAGTTCAGTGATTTTGTGAACCCAGCCGGATTGATATTTTTGATATTCCTACAAGTTATTGTCCAAGGTCGAATCTTGTCTTTTTTAAATTGGAAACTTGTGGAAATAAAAGAATGTGCCCCGAGTGATTCGATCTGATCCACTGTGATGCTGGCGACTTTTGCGTCCGTACATACCAAATCGATAAGGGACGAGCTGTTACTTGTAAAGTGTGTAGGCGCAGTTACCAACTGAGTCAGATTCAGACAATTTAAAAACGTTCGCAACTTACACACCTTTGTGTCAGATGCGGACACATTCAAGCAATTTATATTAAAGTCCCCTAACAGTACTGTACGGCTGCAAAATGATAACGAGTTGACAGAACTCGTTAATGCATCAAAAAAAGTGTCAACATCAAGCCAAGGTGGCCTGTATGCCGTACCTACTGCGAGTTTGGAGCCATTTACATTTAGTACCAACCACATTTGTTCAACGGATGCGTGCGCAGGGTCAGCAGGGTGGGAATGCGTCCGCACATTCAAACCGCGTCTAATGTAAAAGCCGACGCCGCCGCCGCGGCCCCCGCGCACGCTCAGCGGGCGCGGGACATGCCGCAGCCGATAGCCGGGAACTGACGGCGCGCGACCCTCCTCCCCCGCGCTGAGCCAAGTCTCATTAATGGCCATGATATCTACGCTATAGCGCTCCATCGCAGCTATGAATTCGTCATGCTTTGTACCTAATGACCCGGCGTTAAAAAGTCCAACTCTAAAGAGTTTCGAGGTCATATAAGTGTGGTTGAGTTAGCAAGGACAAGAAACATATACGAGTGTGCAAAATAAACGTAAACAAAATCAATATAGTAATATAGCCGTTCCTCTATACATCTGTAAATAGAATACATAAATGTGAGTAGAATGTAATATAAATAATGTATAGTGTATAGTTTAAATAAAATATAGATTTTATTCGAGAGAGAATCAACCAGGGACCGAACCCCATTTGCGCCACTGCAAGCTGTACCAACCACGAAACATACATACATCGCGGACATCACACATAACAAACAAAATAAAACATATTTTACATTTATGACATTAATAATTGCTATCACCGAGATGTAAACAAAGTGCAAGGTAGATAGCGAGTTACACATAAAAATATTTAAAGGGTAAATTGAAAATAAAATATTTGCAAAGTATTTATTGATACCGTCAAGGATTAAACATGACCCTCCCCAAAAAAATTTTTTTTACATCGGTCTCCGACCGAACGCGAAGAGCGGAGACGCCGTCTTCTTTCCGCACATATATGCGTCCCTCTTTAGTCCACCCATACTTAAATTGTAGACGCTGCGCAGCCTCACGAGTGTTCCGAAAGAGCCTTGCGTTAGAGCGAGTCAGACTCTCGTTAACGAAGACCCTCTGTGGTTGGCCGGGCAGGTCGAGGTCCGCAGTGGTGAGCCCGCGGCGCACGCGCGCCGCGCGAATCAGTTGGTCTCGCACCGCTCGGCGAGACAGGCGCACGGCAATGACGCGCGGACGCGGACGCTCCGTTATGTCAGATTGGGATACACTAGTGACAAAGTTGCGCCGTACCATTCCAAGACGCTCGACATTCACTATGTCCCTATCGTCGAGTGCAATCCCCAGCTTCAGGGACACTGCCTTTACTAAATGAGCCGGGTTCTCGGCCTTCGTTTCCGGAATGCCCGACACGACGATGTCATTAAGCAGTAGGTCCTGGTCGCGCTCATTTAGCTGGAGCTTTAAATCGGCGATCGTCTCCTCAAGGTGATCGTAGGATGACGGGTCCCTAGCTTCAAAACGCTGCTCGAGGTTGGCTACCCTGTGTTCTACCTTGTCCATACGCTCGTTGCAGCCACGTACAGCGGCCCTGAAGTCGGCTGACTCCTGTCGCATCTCTAAAATTTCTGCCCGGAGTGCGCTCAACTCCTCCCTGAACGACCTTATTTCCTGTGCCAGGTTCAGACTCACAGGAGTGTCGGTGGGTGGACTATTTGTCTCCGTGTAGTCCGCTGCTGCGCCTTTCACCGGGGTTGCGGAATTGTCAGTTTTTGGCAGTTTTACCTTGCAGCCGGGACACAGCCAAGCAGGCGCGGGGGTGGCAGTGGCTGGTACACCCACACAGGCACGATGATAGCAGCCTGCGCACTTACTGCACCGAATGCTAGCCGCCGCCGCAATGAACTGACCGCAACCACCACATTTAGCCATGATGTGTTTGATAGTGTATGCAATTTAAGTACACCACCAAAGAGGCACAGACCAATTGATAAGACAAGGACAATCTTACCAAAAACAAAAAAAAAAATTGTTGTGATTTTGTAGAATTCGCGGACTTTTTGTTTATTTATATTATAGGGTAGACTGATCACTGCGACACTGGTTGTATATTTAAGTTTATTATTAAAATTGTTAATACAAGACACTGGCACTTTTCCACAATATATATTGTAAAACGATTAGTTATATACACTTTACAATAAGAAGTTTTTATAATAACACTGTAGTTTTATTTTAATTTATTTAGTGTAGCAAAGACAAACAGGTGTTACCGACGACCGTGACGTCACTCTCAAAACGTCAAAAACAAGAAGAAATACCCAAATACATATCGGCACTAATAATTCACGCAATTCCATAAAAAATAAAACAAGACTCGTCTTTTAAATGTCAAAATAATTACTTTTTTTTCTTATTGGTTTAGATAAAGAGTTTTTATTGATGTTCAATTCAAAGTACCTAAGTCAACATGCAAGCAACATGCAGTATTTTTTATTTGGTATATTTTTTCGGTTTCTGGTCAGTAGGTCAATAGTTATCTACTAAGATAAATGTGAAGTATTTTATCAGTATTATTACCTAATATTGTCAGAATGATATTGGTTTCATGAATATTGATATCGTATCAGAGAAGTTGCTTCAGCATCCCATTTCATATTTATATTATTTTTACCTAATAGGTCCGAAAACGTTCCGATAGATTGCCTGGTCGTATCGGATCAGCGCCGCCCATTGACACTCGCAATACCAAATAGTTACTAAAATTGCGTTATTAGCCGTTTATGGGTTATGAGGGATTTAAGGATAGGAGATTTGACGATAGAAGATGAAGAGGATTGGGCCTCCGATAACCTCACTCGGCGATACATAACGTCTGTGCTTCACGCTGGATTTCTGTGAGGCCGTGGTATCATTCTGGTCGAGTAGGCCCATTCGTTCCGAAACATGCTCTCCTACACTTAAACATATCAAATACTGTCGAAATTGCAAGCATAATTATGTAGCGCGGACCCGGCCCGGAGCTGGAGAAGGAACGAGATAGTTTTTAGTCAGTCAGCGTCACAAATTCGATTAGCCAAAAAATATATTTTTTATTTTTTAACATGCTGTGTTGTGTGGCGTTTTGTTTTTTTAATGTCAAATAGTATACTTTTTTATATGGCATGATAGTATGAGACAATTTATCTATGAAAGTGTGACTATTTTGTAAAAAAATAAAAAAAGAAACCAGTATAAACATTTTCACCAGTAGAAGAACTGGAATAAATGCCATTGCATAAAGTTTCGACAGTTATGGAAAAATGAACAAACCAAAGGAACCACTTTCAGTTGATTAAAGTCAAAACTACCAAATTGCAGAATCACTAAAAACGTTCCATTCAAATAATCTCGCAAGATGTTATACACACATCGATATTGAAAAATTATCTTCAACAACACTTTTTTATCACTAAAGTAACATACAAATGTAGGTAATAGGTACATACCAATGAACACAAACACAAACAAACAAAAACACGAATATTATTCTAAACCACATGATCACGTCCAGCCTCCACCGCGTCCGGAGATAAACTAAATATTAAATGGCTTTGAACCTTATAATCTTCCAATCACAATAATTGTAGATTGTATTCTGTAGACCCGTTCAGTATTCGGTTATAGGCCAAGTTACTGGAATCGCAACTTGATTATGAATTTATGTATTTTTTATTTATTACGTTGATTGACTAATTACCTAATGGTGAGCAGTCGACCAGGGACACCCTTAAGGCCAGAGTTATGAGCGCGTTGCCTGCCTTTTTGGGATTAGGATCCCGGAGATTTAGGGATTGGGGTAAGGTGATGAGAAAAGGAGACAAATTGGGCCTCCGGCAACCTTACTCATACAGTGAAACAAATGCTGTAGTTATTTCACGTCGGTTTTCTGTGAGGCCGTGTTATGTATTTTTACAGATAATAGCTATATTTTAATAAAAAAGACGATAAATGTAAGTACTGATGGAATGAATCGAAGATGGAGGATGATCCATCAATAAGAACAAAAAAAAAATTGTTAATGTTAAGAGGAATTGTGATCTCAATTATTAAATTATTCACCATGTTGTTAATTGTTGATAAACTGGATTTTTGTAAATGTGAGAGCCCTGTAACATAATATAATTGAGTTAGACTTATAGTATATTGGTACTTGTGTCAGTTGGGAGTTGTCATGCTCACTCAGGTGGTGGCACGGGCACTGGACCGCTCGGTTCCCTATAATATGGTTGAGTTGGGCGGTGCTGGTGTACGTGTCATGTTCATGAACGGACGCCGCTTATTGGGACTGGTCAACTCAAGACTGTCTAAAGTTGCTGTCTTTGAGGTTTATTTCTTTTTCGGATCCTTTGGAACTATCTAAATGATGTAACAATGCATTGTAAAAAGTGATTGAAAAAGAGTAACCATGGAGTTTCTTGCCCGTTCTTCTCCATAGGAATCTACACTTTGGAACGAGCAAATAGCTTCACTAGAGGACAGACGGACAGACTGACACATATAAAGTTAAACCTTATGATATCTTTTTTGCTTGACGTTCAAAAGTGCCAGTTGTGGTCTACTTGAAATAAAGAATTTGATTTGATTTCAATACTTCCAATACCAAAAAAACTGTTAGACTTAAAGATAGGGTGTTCCATAGTACAATCATCAAAATAGATGAAAATTATATGTAATAGGTCGACAACCCTGTACAAATTGATTTCCTTACTTCATTGGTAAACGCCAATATGCATCTAGATCCTTACGTAATAGCGTTCAATTTTAAACTTTCCACAGTTTATGCTTTGCACTGAAAATCATATTTTTCTTGACTGTCTAGACTAAGTTCACAACAACGAACCAAAACATACCAAAATCGAAGTACATAGATTTTCCCCACAAAACAAATCGCGTTTTCAGTTCACAAAAATAAACATAGCGTGATTTGAAACGATTACGTAATCTTCTTTACAATTATGGCTATGAAATCTAAATAGGATTTCTTGTTTCATAATGATCCACAGATTTTCATATTCTAATCAAACCTTGAGTTTTATTGTAATGGATTTGCGACCAGATTGCGATCTTTGATCACAATGTAGACGGCACATGCTAGCGGCCTAGTAAACTTTGATACAATCTTGAAGTAGATTTTATATCAATTGGCCTTAGAATCGTAACCGCAATCTTGTAATAGGCTGGAGCTCAGATAAAAATCATACATTTGTTTTTAAATATATTACTTGTAAATTAATGTGTAAGAGTGGCTCTCTTACACATAATTTATGTTTTGGCAGGAATGGCTCGATTCGAATGTCAGTGTCAAAGACAAAAACATATTATTCAACTAAAACAGGTACTTTTGAAAAGTCATAATATTATACATAATAGCCTGTAAGCCTGATCAATAGTGAAGCTTGGTGCTCGTTTTGACTTGTAGTTTCGAATGGAGTCGAAGTAGAAGGAAGGAAAAGAAGAAAAAGAAGTAAGTGAGTGAAGTTACCAGAGTCTCCCATTCCTACCCTCAACTTTTATATTCCTAACATCCGCCAAAAAACCGGTTTGAACAGACCTTGTTTTAGTGACACAGACGTATAAGCTACAGAAGAATAAAAGTTGTTTGTTTAAAAGGATTTTACCTGCGTTGGTGGATACGTTTCAAAATGTACACATCATACTCTGTTGGAATATGAGAACGCACCCATATTTATTATGTTGTCAACCCAGACATTTTTGTACCATTTTTTTGTGTATTACAATAAAGCATAAATAAATAAATAAATATTTCCATCATACTCAGACCCGAAACAGCACTGTGTTGAAAGCACACAGTTCTTTGAGCGAATCACTGTTACAACACTTAGCCCAGTAGCTAGGATGCCTCGCCACAGCGCGAACCGTGCAGTCAAAGTTCAGTGTCATACTATGTATTGATTTGTGCATTCTAGTTACGCACACGTGGTCTTAGTATTTTTATGAATTCATTTATGAAGTCATAACGTTCGTTTACAAGTTTCGAAGTATCGACGCAAACTATAAAATTATGTCTAATTCCAAGTCAGAATCATTTATTCTAACTCGACCATAAATAAGGATAACTTTTGAGAATTACATTTAATTTAAAATTGTGACTATAAATTATTAGGTTTGTTAAATTGAATAATAAGATAAATATTCTCACTGGTTGTCTCAAAAAATGGCTTTGTTTTAGGATAAAAAAGGAATTTTGAAAAATAAAACAGTCAAATTATTAAATTCAGGGAACAATATTCAAATACAAATACATTAATCAGATTTAAAAATCGAAGGGCCTTGTCCACCAATTACTAAATATAATTTCCTGATAAAATTATACTCGTATGGCATATAAAAATATGAAGTTCAAACAAATAACATTCTATATTCAAATTCATATGGAACAGCTATTAATTTGTAAAACAGGTCATTATAAACATCCTTAAAAGCAATTATAAAAATAGCATCTAGTTCAGTGTTCTCACATTAATAAATAAACAATAAAAACAAATGAATTAGGAAAAAACAAATACAAATATGGGACAAATACCAAAGAATATTTTGTTCACAACACAAACAGGCGTCAACCATGACAGAGCAAAAATTCAATAACAAAACTTACATGGCCGCCATTTTTCAAACTCAAAATACACCGATACTATCAAACACTGGAATAATACTAAACTCCGAGCCTTTATTTAGTCATTATGCATTATTAATTGACATACTTATCTTGTCCTAAATCAACAACAAGCAGTTTACATTATAATAATATGTTTCTCTACTCGTGCGCGTTCGACGTAAACAACCGACTTATGTCGAGTGCGCGCGAATTATGGTCGCGGGTCGATGACCTTCAAAATAGTGCTGTCTCTTTCACTCTCCGAGTTCTATTTTCAAACTGTTTCAAACCCTTTTTCGATGAAGGAATTAACAAACAGGATGAAAACAATATCATAATATGATTGTTTTTTTTTATGTGAGTTCTATTTACAAATGTTAGGCCAGTTGTTTTTAGTATTATATAATTATAGTTTTTCCTGCGTACAATATTCAAACATGGAATAACAATGTTATGGTTATCAGTAAAAGCATGACACGTTTGAAATTGTCGGTGGCCTGAGTACTCATCGTGCATCCATTCACGTGCCACATTATCACCAAGTTCATTGTAATGAGCTCGTGTCTAATACTTATTTAGATACCTATTGACAGAAATTACTATTCAACTTATGATATGTTACTTTCCGCAGTATGTAACCATTACTTTTTTAATATAAATGATCACACGGGTTACCTGATGGTAAGCAATCTGTGAGGATTCGAGAATTGGAGAGGGATGGGGATGGATTGGGCCTACGTTAACCTCACTCATATGGCGAAACACAACGCGGTGGTTTTCTCTGTAACCGAGATATCACAGCAGTTGCACCGGCCTATTAGTGCCAAAGCGTGGCTCTCCCACTCTTATCTGTTACCGCCTTGTGTGTACTTGCTTACTGGAAGCTAAAGTTCCCTTCACTGTTTATACTTCTTTTTAGCTGCTTGCCATTCATAATTCGCTGAGGAGGTCAGTGGAAGACCAGGACATGTCTTGCACATGCTGAATTGGTTCCCCTTTTTACACGTTGCCCTGAAGCTATAGCTTTATTTTCTTGTCCTTTAATGGTTTCTTAGTCTGTCTCTTGTTTTTTATCGTATGTATTATGGTTTATATCAAATTATATCTTCCTTTCTTCCTTTTCCCTAATCCTAAATCCTTTGGTATATATCTTACTTCTAAAAGGCCTACAACTCACTTTTAAATGCTATGGTATTCCCGGGGCCTATGGGCAGCGTCGATAGCTTGGTTACCATCATAATTATGATCCGTCAGCTCATTAGCCATCGTTCCAATTACAAAAATCATGTAGTAACTTTATAAATATTTGTTCTAAACGAAGCATAGACTGCCCTAGTTTCCAGCCACACTAAGAGCTATTCATGGCATTGGCTGTATGAAGCCCATTTCTAATCCGTTGGGCAATTTGTGTCGTGCAATGCTGCTCATGCATATGAGCCCCTATTGTGACTTGAAACTAGTCGAGTTCCCATTCTCCGGACGGTTGCAAATTATTTTATCTCACTCTAGAGCTATAATACAAAAATATACATTCATTTTATTGATTTACGTATTAATTTACTGTATTCATTATTTACAACAATAAGCATTAGAAAAACAATGTTTTTCTCCTCGTCATTTTTTCTTCATTCATCTATGATATTTTCAACCTTATCCCTTTCAAATTAAGGATTTAATTCAGCCGAGTACACGTCTAATAGGAACTTTTTGTAGTATTCAACGTTTCCTTTGTAAACCACTCTTGCATTAGGATCTGATGAAGAGAAATCATTTGTGTTGATACCACGTTTTGCACCTGTAACATTAAAAGTAAGGTTAAAGTTCAAAGTATTACCCTTAAAGGACACAAAAGAAAAATAACTTAAATTGTCGGACGCCGCCGTCGTATATTCTAATTCTTGTTAAGATATAAGAAAATCATATAAATGAAATAGCTTTAATATAATAGTAAGACAAATAATTGCTAGTCAATTTATTTTAGGGGCTTTGCAAATATCTTTGCAAAAACTTGGATCATAAACAAAATTCATAAATCCCTGATTGCCACTGAACAAACTGAATATATGGTTAATGTATCATTCAACCACTGTGTATTTAGAATTATTACATTATTGGCTTGTTTCTCGAAAAGTGATAAATTATAATTATGTGTTCGATAAATTAATTACCTTCTAAGATAATAGTGTTGTTTGTATTTTTAAACTCGTCCACGATTTCATTATACAGAGCAATTGCTGCAACAGCTGGGTCCAGAAGGTTCCAGACTTTTTCTTTGGGAAGAGCAACTTGTTCATACAGGTTCAAAGCTTTCATGATTGGTGTGTTAATTGCACCTAAAACGTCCAAACGCCAATCCTGTAACCAAGAAATTGCAACATTGTTATGACTTTTTTTTCGTTCATTTGATAATCTTCACAAAAACCGAAAAAAAGAGAAGAACGTCAACGAACGTCACGAACAAAAACGTCGTATAGTCAGGCAAGTGTCGGAAAGCCATTCTTCGGCATGAATGGGTCGGCTCCACCGGAGTGATACCACGGGCTCACAGAAAACCGGCATGAAACATTCACAGCGTTGTGTTTCGCCATGTGAGTGAGACTACCAGAGACCCAATTTTTCCCCTCTCCCAATCCCTCCTCAATGCGTAATCCCCAAAAGGTCGGCAACGCACTCTTTGCGGCTGATTGCTTACCATGAGGTAATCCGGATGCTCGTTTGCCAACCTATCACATAAAAAAAACTAAAAAAAAATAGTATGAAGTTACTAATTTCAGAGCCTCCGAAACAGAAGAGGATCTAGAACATCTTGCGTAATTTTTGATAAGGGCAGAAATTATCCGAAGTGGACAAAGAGGATATATATATGTTTCACAACTGACTGATCATTTTCGAAAATTTAAAATTTCAATAATACCAAACGTGGGTCTTGAATTTAAGATCTATCCTTGATCGCCGCAGTTGCCACTGAATCAATAATACTGTCGTCAAATGTTGTGGATGTCACTAAATGAAAAGTACTTAAGACTTACGATAGGGATTTTTAGCGACTCTTTAACTTGAGAGAATGGTATTATTGTCACTTTGTCTGTTGTAGCATTGTCTACAACAATGTGGTAGGCCTCAGGGTCCATAGCCACGTTGAATTCAGCTTTTGGATATTCTTCACCTGTAACCAGGAATTATTTAGTAGAACATGATTTTGGATGATCTTGGTAATTATATTGTCGAAAGTTCATTTCTTTTTTTTAACTTTGATGGAGTATAACTTACTGTAGATGTGACCACCACCAACGTATAATTGTGATAGTCGGTTAATGAACTGGGGATCCAATTTCACAGCCAAAGCTATGTTGGTAACTGGACCAATAGCTACCACTATCAGTTCTCCTGAAAATACAGAAATAATATTATTATCATAACCACCAAGAAACAATCAAAATTTGAGAGTTTACTCATTTTTTCAATGTAAGCGCTACTACACTAAGTTGTAGAAATAAATTTCTAATTTGGATATTTTTTTTTTTAGCAATTCTCAGGGTTTGAATACAGTCAAGAGTTGCGTTTTTATTTGACAGGAAGACAAGCAATTACCTAATGGTCAGCTTTCGGCACCGTCCTTGGACACTTGCACACTTGCAACACAAAAGTATTTACGAGTCTAACGCCAGCCTATTAGGGATTCGGATATTTGGGTTTGGAGAAGGAGGGCAGGAGAAGAAGGATTTGGCCTCCGATAATCTCACTCACGGCGGAACACAAAGGTGTGATTGTTTCGCGCATATTTTCTCTCAGGTGATCTATTCACTCCTATCGAGCCTTCCAAAGCATGACTCTCCTACTGATGATAAAATTGTTTTAATTCAATGACAAGAGTTTTTAAGACTAAACCTAGACCTGTGAATAGTTTATCGCAAGCTTGTTGTCCATTCAACAGGACCCTCAATGTAATTTGTGAGAAAAAGGTGTTACCTACATTTTATTAAATGATACTAAATTTGGGAATATAAGGCCTTATTATGTTATAAACGAAAAGCTTGTACCTTCATATTTTTTCGATAGTTCTATAAGGGCTACAGCGGCTGGTTGTTTTTCAATGTCTATTGAATTCGGAGGTTGGTAGGAGGTGTCCCCTAGCCCGTCCACTCCAAAAAAGCCGTCGGTTCCCATATTCTCTATAAAAGCCTTGTTAGCACCTGAGTATATTGGTATCTGAAATAATATAATACAAAAGAAATTGAAATTGTTACTTAGTAAAATCTAACGTGCTTGTACGATCGCTGATAGATGAATATGATTAAAGTAAGGACAGAAAGGATTCTGTTCACATAAATTTTTTGAGGAGTACAGTCATCAAATGTTTTTTTTCTGGGTAGGGCATTAGGCTGTCAGACAGTTTCATCCCGAAACTTTCTTGTCCAGTTAGCATCTAAGTCATCGCCAGAAGGAAGGTGAGGACGTCGTGGCATCTCTCTAGCTACTTTTCAAGGAGAGGTATTACCGCTGCAATAATAGCTAGCCCCATTTAAAGCATATTTAAGAATTGATTTATTAAACCGAAGATTTTTTTTATAAATTGCACACAGGCAAAGTTTTGGACAATAAGTTAATTTACTTGAAAATGTATTGTAGGTACCACAATCTTATCGATAAGGTAAATTTATGTAAACTGTTGTGCGTTCATGTTAAGGCCAATTCACACCGAATGACGCGACGTGACTATACTACCAACTCTTTGTGAGATCCACAAATTGTTGTTTCTGGTCTGGGTGTCATTAGTATGTGAAATTTTATGTTTGTAACCGCACCCACAATACCTACCGGTCCTCTAGAGTAAGGCAACGTTTTATACATATAAAAAAATTAAAATGAAATATGTATCTTCTTATTATATTTTGAGCCGCTTCATAAAAGTACTGTCGCATCACTTGCCGGTTTTAGTTGACCCTTAGAAAACATCAAACGTGGTTTTATTATTTATTTATTCTTTATATACAATTGCATATCGGAGGACTTAATGCTAGAAGCATTTTCTGCCAGTCAACCTTTTGGTAGTGCAGAGATGTGTGGTAGGTGATATAGAGCAATTTAGGAAGTTACGTGAGGTGGAGGTGTAAATCAATTCTAAGTTACATACATAAAAATAAAATATACATATATAAAATACATACATATATAAACACTCATACACATAATATAAATAAATAATATAATATAAAAAAATATATATATAATGAGGACAATATTATAATCTAAGTGGGGAAACTACCATCATCTTGCCTATGTATTCACGCACCCTACGCTTGAAACACAACCGGCTGGTTGTTTTACGATGAAAAATGAAGACTTAATAACAATGATAGATAGATTTGACAAGAGGCTTACTTGTAAGGTAATTTATCTATTTGTAGCAGTTGGAAAATAGCTTGAAAATACTCGTCCTATTATTAGATTCTGTGGCTGTCTACGATCCTACACTATGTATAAGGAGCTTGCCATATAAGAGCGGTTTCTTTCAAGGTAAATAAACATTGAAACTTACAATGATATTATTCCATATTAACAGTCCAGGTTTGCAAGTGCAAGCAAAATAATGTACCGCGGCTCCGGCTCTAAGCAGGAGAAGGAATGAAATAGTTTTCGGGCAGTAAGAGTCTGACTCTCCCTCTTGCTCTACCCAGTACAAAGGGTGAAGACATAACATGCCTTTCTTCCCTCAAAAAAGGTTCTTGAAAGTCGGTTATTTAAGAGACGATACAACTGCCAGTGGCTTGTTAAACTACAATTGCTTTTATAAGTTATTTGCATGACATTCACTATTCCACGCGAACGAAGTCGCTGGCAAAAGCTAGTCTTGTAAAAGCAGGTTTGGGTAAAAAGGATAATCATACATTTGGACAGCTCTTAAAATATGAGGTGAAATTGCATCATTATGTTGTAAGGTGGTAATCTAATCTGTAGATATTGTTATCTGCAGTATCTGTAAGTGTGATATCTTTGAATACTTACATCTCTTCTCTGACTAACTCGCAGAATCCGGTCGCTATTTATATTTGCTTGAGTAAGATTCACATTTCCAAATGTCGTTGTCAAGGCGATCAGCTCTGGCCTGAAAGAGCAAATACATATTTTAAGGCAAGCCGTGGTTTTAGGTCAGTTAGAGTCTGAGACTCCCTTTCGGGCGAAAGGAGTCATTGGATGACATTTCCCCCCTTCAAGTTCAAAGACTTCAAGTTCAAAAACTACTCTCGTGTTGTGGGTGTAAATGGGAGGTGCCGATTGCTTACCATCAGATAATCCAAATGTTCGTTAGCCGATGTATGTCACTTTATTAGGAGTTGTTATGAATTTAAGTATAAGGATTGGGGATGGAACCTGTCTCACTGAGAAGGTCTGTCTCGGAGTGATACATTCTGGTCGAACCGGCCCATTCGTGCAGGAACATAGCTCTGGAGCTCTGGCTTTAATAATTTATTTATTTATTAAACCTTTATAGTATACAATTGCATATCGGAGGACTTAATGCTAATAGCATTTGCTGCCAGTCAACCTTTTGATAGTGCAGAGAGGTGTGGTATATACAGCAATTTAGAAAGTTAATTAATCGCTGTTAACCTCTTTTGATCTTAACCACAATTTGTTTAATGAAGGATGTTTAGTTTTTCAGACATCCTCCATTAAATATAATAGCAAAGCAATGTAATTTTAAAATGTATTTAATATTTCCCTGTTTTTAAATCATAAAACTAAAACCATTAAACAGAGATATGAATTATTCTCATAAACGTTATAAATACAAAAATAGTTTTTAAGCATTAGGCTTTAAGGTTTAAAATTCTGAAATGCAACATCTAAATTACATAATGTGTTGAACACGATTTTTAAAGTAATAAACATTTCTTGACTTAAGATAAAGTAAAAAAGTGTTGCATGTCAAATAAAAAAAAATAACAAAACACTTACGTGTCATACCTCAATTAGACATTCAACTAATTGCCTGTTTTATTAAATGAATGGGCTGTTAGGTGAACGATAAGTGGTCGCAGCCAACTAGATGTATTAGCCATTTAATTCAATGCCAGGCGGACTTAATGCATTGAGCATTCTCTACCAGTCGACCTTTGGGTGATGCAGAGAATCCGGTAGTACTTAGATGCAAGAAGCCAGCGAACATTTATGTCTGGGTCACAGTTTTCACTTAGCCTAGCATTTTGCAAGCAACTCGGTTATAGCAAAAAATATATTTATTCACCCTCTTATTTATAACCTGAATGAGCAATTTCATTATAACCAAAGTAAAAAAAAAACTTAACAAGTACCTACGTTGGAAACTTGAAATAAAAAAAGAGTAAATAGTCTCACTGTTCGTCTAGATGCTAGTTCCAAAACTTAGATTCGAATAAAAAAGAACGATCAAGAAACTCCATCTTTACTTTTTTTAAACTCACTGATGCATAATTTAATCCAATATTGTATGGACTACCATGAAAGACTAATGAAGAAAAAGGGTGAAATGAAACGTAAAAAAAAAATACTTCAATCCCCTCTCGTCACGTCCGTTCGTTAGGAATTAAATCCCATCCCCAAATCCTCGGTGGATTTGGGGATAGGATCGGATTCCTAACATCCACTAAAAGACTAGCAAGAAACTTGTAAGGTCTCTGGTGTTGCGTTAATAAGTAACGCCAATTGCTCTCCACCAATTCATTTGCGCTCATTTGCCGACCTACCGCATGAAAAAAAAAACAGATTCATCTATTGTTGTTTCAATGCCGTACCTAGCGTATCAGTTAGATGACAAAGGACTCACAGATAACCCAGATAAATAAATTAATGATTCAAGGTTTAAAATGTGTGTTTTATTTTTATTTAGTAAACAATATTGCATATCCATAGATGACTGACAGACTGACTGATTCATTTCTTATCTTCGAACTAGCAACTCGTCCTTGCTTCGTGTGGGTGCAATGCTTACCTATACTAACTAAAACTACTATTTAATGGATATTATTATCCGGCGGGCCAAAGATCGGGCCCGCGAGGAGATGTTGGAGACTCTGAACAGAGACCCGTGGGGACGCCCCTACCGGATGGTGCGTGATAAGCTCCGCACCTGGGCGCCCCCACTGACTCAGAGTCTCCGGCCGGAGGTCGTGGACGAAGTGGTTGGGGTGCTATTCCCCCGACCACAGATGAGTTACACGCCTCCGGCTATGTCCCCGCCCCCTGCGGTGCCCAATGCGGGCTACAACGACGACGACGATGAATCCGCTCCGGAAGTGACCGAGGTAGATTTGAGAGTGGCGGTGCGCCGGCTGAGCGGCAAGAATACCGCCCCAGGACCTGACGGGCTGCATGCCAAGGTTTGGGTCCTGGCCTCGGAGGCTCTCAGGCCTCGACTAATTGGTCTTTTCAGCGCCAGTTTCGGGGCCAGTTTCCGCTGTCGTGGAAGACGGGTAAACTGGTCCTCGTGAAGAAGCCGGGGCGTCCTGCAGACTCTCCGTCCGCGTACCGGCCCATTGTGCTGCTCGACGAGGTGGGAAAACTGTTCAAGAGGATAATCTCAGACCGCCTCGTCGGGCACCTGTCTGGAAGGGGGCCGGATTTAGCGGACGGCCAGTTCGGCTTCCGCAGAGGGCGCTCCACGGTGGACGCCATTATGCGCGTGAGGGACCTCACGACGGGGGCTGCGTTGGCCAGGAGGCGAGTCGTCGTGGCGGTGTCTCTGGACATCGCCAACGCCTTCAACTCGCTGCCCTGGAGCTGCATTTTGGAGGCACTCCGGTATCACCGGGTGCCTGCCTATCTCCGTCGTGTAGTTGAGGCTTACTTGACGGACAGATGCGTCATCTACCCCGGTCACCGGGGCGTGTGGAATCGGCGAGAGGTGTCGCGCGGTGTCCCACAGGGATCGGTCCTGGGACCTCTCCTGTGGAACATCGGGTACGATTGGGTGCTACGCACCGACCTCCCAAGCGGCGTCAGCATTGTCTGTTATGCTGACGACACGCTGGTGCTGGCGAACGGGAGGTCGCATTAGGCGGCGGCCGACCTGATGCCACAAGCGGTTGCGACAGTCGTTGCAAGGATCCGGCAGTTGGGACTCGAGGTGGCGCTCCACAAGTCCGAGGCCATGTGTTTCTATGGCCGTCGGAGCGCGCCACCTCCAGGTGGGTCCCAAATAACGGCAGGAGGAGTTACCATCGGCGTCGAGTCGGCGATGAAGTACCTGGGTCTCGTCCTCGACAGCCGATGGAACTTCACGGAGCATTTTCGTCGTTTGGCCCCTAAGTTGGAACGGTCTGGGGCCGCGCTCAAGCGGCTCCTTCCCAACCTCGGGGGGCCAAACGCCTCCTGCCGGAGGTTGTATATGGGGATTGTGCGATCCATGGCCCTCTACGGTGCCCCTGTGTGGGCGCCGGCCTTGAAGCGGCGGCCGGCTCGTACGCTGGTCGCGTCCCAGAGGGTCATGGCTATTCGAGTAATCCGCGGGTATCGCACGATCTCCAGGGAGGCGGCGAACCTCCTTGCCGGATCACCGCCGTGGGATCTAGAAGCGAAGGCGCTCGCGCGCGTCTACAGTTTGCGCGCAGACGCGCGTCGCCGGGGCGAAGATCATCTGCCGCGCCAAATTAGTGCGTGGCGGAATGAGCTCCGGCGAGATCTCATGGCAGAGTGGAAACAACGACTGTCGCAACCGAGGGCCGGGCACGCTACCATAGCAGCGGTAAGACCCCTCTTTGAGGAGTGGCTTGAGAGACGCCACGGCGTCCTCACCTTACGTCTGACGCAGGTGCTTACCGGGCACGGCAGCTTCGGTAGGTTCCTGTTTCGGATTCAGCGGGAGGAAACGCCCGAGTGTCGTCATTGTGAGGACCACCTAGAGGATACGGTGGAGCATACGGTAGCGGTATGCCCTGCCTGGGCTGAGCACCGCCGTATCCTCAGGGAAGTGATCGGCGGCGGCGACCTCTCGCGCCCGGCCTTAGTCGAGGCCATGGTGCGGAGTGAGAGGAACTGGGACGCCGTCTCCTCCTTTTGTGAAGCAGTCATGCTCGCAAAGAGAGAGGCGGCCCGCGTGAGGGAGCAATCCTCCTCCTCACGCCCCAGCAGCCGCAACTGGCGACACTACGGGCGTCGGGGATCGAGGGAGATCTCCGGCCACCGTAAGCACGGGCCTGCGGTCGGAGAGTAAGGGCAGCTCGCCGCCCGACCAGAACCAGGCCCGAGCGTACGGCGCGTAGCGTTCCGCGCGCGTCTCAAAGAGCCATTCGACCACCACAGACGGGGCCCTAAAGGGCTGATGTTCAGCCGGGGTTGCGGGTAAGCGCAATGAGGTACCGCGACCTCGGCACAGAGCAGGAGAAGGAACAGGGGGGTTTTTAGTCAGTAAGAGTCTGACACTCCCTCCTGCCCGGCCCTGGGCGGGAGAAGTCATTTGATGATTTTCCCCTTACAAAAAAAAAAAATGGATATTATTATGAAAAATGGATATTATTATAAACATAAACAACCCTCTTTAGTCACTCTTTATTAAAAAACCGCCTTAAAACCTGTTGCGTAGTTTTAAAGATTTAAGCATACATAGTGACAAAGTAGAAACAAAGTCGCTTTTGTTTCTACTATTTTCCGATTTACATATAGTGGGATATTTAAAAATACCTTATAATATACATATAAATTTGACCTTGTCTTGGTAAATTCTTAGTGGTTTTTTAATTACACTACTAACATAACATGTTGTGTTAGTAGGTAAGTTGGAATATTTAATAACTTGTCAAAAAAAACTTCTTATAGAATCTAAACGAAATATGGCAAGGAAAATAAACATTCTAGCTTGACAATTTAAAAATAATTTTGTGATAAAAAGCCTATTGCGATATTTCGTTTTCATTCTAAAAAAAGCATTAGTTAAAATATTTCGAGGCCTAACTAAGCCAGTCGACAACCTTTATCTACTTCTGTATAATAAATAGAAATGAGCCACAGAATGCCTATGTACGATAGGCGCAAAACTCGAAAACGACTTTACAACATTTGAAAAAAATATTTTTAATTCGAATAAATGCTTAGAATTCAGTCAACTCTATCAATCAATCAGTTAGGACACGTTAATAAGTCGTTTTTTTAAAATTAATTATGTACCTACGTGCCATGATATTTGCTATTATAAACTGCTTGGGATCCCATTCATAAATAGAATTATCAGTGAGAAAAATAGTGAAGAAAAAAGAAAAATGATATTGTATTCTACTATATAACAGTAAAATGCACTTACCCATTAAAATATTCCTCGTTAAGCAAGCTGATTGTAATTGCAAAAGCATCATCAGCTCCGCCATCATGATCTATAACAAGCTTCTTCCTTGAACAAACTGGACTGGCGTCAGAGCTGAAAAATAATTTAACAATGATTATAGATTATGGTTGATCATCATCAATGAATAAGGTGCCCAATATTTAATCAAAGACCATCTCTTAAGAAATTATTTATCTAATTCCCTTTAATCTTTTTTCTGTGGAATGAACCATAATCTATTTTCGGTCGGCTCGATCGCATTGATACTACGGCCTCACAGAAAATCGGCTTGAAACAACCACAGCATTGTATTTTGCCGTGTGAGTGAGGTTACCGGAGGCCTAATCCTTCCCCTACCCCAATTCCTCCTCAATCCCTAATCCCCAAAAGGTTGGCAACACACTCGTAACTCCTCTGTTGTTGCGGGTGTCCATGCGGTGATTGCTTACCATCAGGTAATCCGTCTGCTCGTTTACTACTTACATTAAAAAAAAACAAAATTTAAAGAGATGTTATCTCAACATCTGCCCTGACCAGGCGCAATTATTGGGCGCTTATTGCCCTTGCACCCGCAACCATTTTACCATCAATGACTTTCGAAATAATAACTTATTTTGATATCCTCACGTTTTAAGATATATCTGAATAAAGTTTCAAGTCACAAATATAAGTACAGGTTAATTCTACAATTCATTGCGAGATAATGCTTCATTAACTAAATAAGAAATAAATAGAATATTCTTACTAATTTACTTAGTTTCAAAGACAAATTACTTTATTTGACCTGATTACGCCATCAATATATGTATTTATTTTTAGCTGTTATTAGTTTATTTTTGGTGCAGTTTTGTTTAAGGATTTTTTAACTGCACTTCTATTTATAAATTTATGCAAAAACAAAAAATCCTTTACTAGTGACATACTGCATGTTAAATAAATGACTTGTTTTTCAATGAATTCATCAAAAATGGATGGCTTTTTATCTAATGTACACCTAAAATATAGTATAGGTGATATTACAACACATGTACGCATTTTTAAAACAGTTATTAATAAAATTATTGTAAAATAAGAATAGGTTGAAATAAAGTTAGAGGAAAAATAGATTGAGTTTTAGTTAACAGAAGATTCAGTAAAACTATTATAAAGGTCTAACAGTATAGGTAGTATAATTGATTTATTTGCAGTGTTTTTGGTGGTAATTTCGAATATTTTTAATTGAAAAAAAAAAACAGGATTTACAGTAAAAGTATTAAATACCACCCATTTTGTCTTTCTTTGATAGTGTGTCAAACAAGTAGACTAATAATAATCTGAAGGTAAGCAACAGGCGCCACACCAAATCATCGGTCGGCGAGCAAGGAGAACTTACTGCCTTACCAGAACCAGACCCGAGTGTGCAGTTCCGCGTTCGGCGCGTGCCTTATAGAGCCAATAGACCACCACAGATGGGGTACAACAAGACCACTGCATAGCCGGGGTCGCGCAGGGATTTGAAGCAGGAGAAGAAACGGGAGGTTGACACTCCCTCTCTGCATACCCCAGGCAAGAGAATGATGATATTTCCCCTCCACAACAAAAGGTATGTAAATAGCGGACCCTCCCCAAAAAACCCTACACATTACATTTCACATGCTTTTTCAAGCAATCAGCGCCATCTGCCGGGCTGATTTGTGAATCTAAACATCATCCAAGGTGCCATTCCAACGCATACAAAAAAAAAAAAACATTTAAATCGGTCAAGCCGTTTACGGACTTCAATTAAATACACACGTAACAGCAGAATTACATATATAAATAAAGATAATACACAAGTTTTTTTAAGAGAATATTCTTCTATTTCTGTCTTTTTGCTGTCTATTCTTATCGTTAAATAATTCGAACATCAATGGGCCTTTCAAACTAATTAATGTGTAGTCATAGCATAAAAAACAAGCAATTATGGGAAAAGTTACAAAAACTTCATACAATAGATATTTTTTTCGTACAAAAAACAAATATAATTTAGCTCAACCTCACCTGGCAATCCAATAAACAGTTAATAAAATAAAACATAATATTTTACGAGCCATAATTACCCACACGAACTATACACAATAACATATGCGAAGAACTGGTATATATGTTATATCACTCATGTTTTATAAAACCATATATCTTTATATGTAGATAAAAATTCAATGTCAGTTTGTATTTATTGTGTATTTATACGAAAACATTTTTCTATCTCTGTCGAGTTTTATTTTGACTTTACAATTAATATGAGAATTATTTGTAAAAGGCCGGCAACGCACTCGTAACTTCTTTGGTGTTGCGGGTGTCTACATATGTATCGATTGCTTACCATCAGGTAATCCGTCTCCTCAAGAGGGGGCGGTGCGCGTGAGGGAACTATCCTCCCTCGCGCCCCAGCCGCCACAGTCGGCGATATTTCGGGCGTCGGGGATCGAGAGATGATCTCCGGGCATCGTAAATGCAGGTCTGCGGACGGCGAGTAAGTGCAGCCCGCCGCCCGACCATAACCAGACGAGTTCTGCGCGCGCCTCAAAGAGCTAATAGACCACCACAGACGGGGCCCTATAGGGCTGATGTTCAGCCGGGGTTACGGGGTAAGCGCAATGAGGCACCGCGACCTCGGCCCATATTAGAAGAATGAATGGGGGAATTTTTAGTCAGTAAGAGTCTGACACTCTCTTTCGCCTTACCCTGGGCTTGAGAAGTCATCAGATGATCATCATCTTTTCTCCTGACAAAAAAAGGTAATCCTTCTGCTCGTTTGCCAAAAAAATGTACGTTAATATATAACTAAGCATAGTTTACATATGGATTATACGGACAGAGAAACCTTATTGCATACTCGTAATAAGTTAATTCAGGAAAAATTCTTGCTCATATGTCAAAAAAGCTAATAATTCGTAAATAGATAATTATGTATACTTGACAACAATTATTTATTTATTTTCAATGTTACATTATTTAACATTAATTATAAATTAAATTCACACATTTCAAAAAGACAAACCGCGCGATATATTAGTATTTTAACATTAAAACCCGTTATAGACATCCTCGCGATTTTATGAATGATTTGAATTCTAATTCAAAAGTTGATAGATATATAAGGTTTTTGCTTTACTTGTTTTGATAGATATAAAAGGATAAATACAGAGATTAACAGGTATATAACTGTTTTCTGGTACTCTATTTAAGTATTTTTCAATTTTCCTTTCATTATGGGGTAGAGCGTAGACCTGCATGATCACCATCGTAAATTGATGATCGCACCTGATGGTAAACAATATGGGCTATCCATGGACACCCACCACGCTAAAGGAGTTGCAAGTGTGTTGTTGAATTTTCTAGAGCAAGATAAGCACTAGAAAATAGTTTTTTTTTTCTATTTTCTAGAGGTTATCTTTTAGTCAGTTAGACTCTGACACTCACACTCGCCATACCCTAGGTGAGAGCGGGTTTAGGAAATTGAGGATTGAGGAATCCGGGGATTAGACTGGACCTCCGATGATTTCACTTTCGTAGTGAAATATAATGGAAGCGTTGTTTACCATTTGTTTTCCGTGAGGCCGTGGTCTAACTCCGATGGTGCCAAATCCTCTCCTACACTTAAATATACTCCTACACTTTATACATACCTTTATTTCTCCTTAAGCCAGTGTACGGAACCAGGGTTGATGTGGATGGACTTAGGAAAAATATACTCGAACACGGTTTTAAATTAATTAACTTTAATGGGTGCTAACTACAAGAGTTAAGTATTGCAAGTGGGGTAATTTTCAGAATTCTTCACAATTTATACATTTCATGAGCGTAAGTTGTTGCTCTGAAAAAACCATCAGGCGCGCGAACATGCCCCCGGGCGTTGAAAGCAATGGTTTCAACCAAACTCCGAAGTCACAGGTAGTGGGCCGACTCGATTGAATGCCCCTTGTACGATGCCAGTGGCTGTCTGGATGTCAGCAACACAAGCGATGTCTTCTGTTTCTAGGTGAACCGCCACCACACGGCCAAGTCTCCACTTCAACGGAGGGAAATTATCCTCCTTAATCGCCACGAAGGAGTCCAGCTTCGATCCATCCTTGCAGGAACAGGATAGTCAGGTTGCAGCAAGGTTACGCGTCAGCGGTGTGCAATCTGCAGGATCTGAAGATAAGGCGTTAGTGGATGAGAGTTCGAAATGGCTTCGATTTTAGTTAGTGTGGTGTACAGTTTATCAAAATTCAAATTACAATTTCCCAACACTCGTTTGACGATGTACTTTGTTGACTACACTCGCCTCCCAGAAGGTACCGAAGTGCGGGATGTACGCAGGGATAAAAATGAAATTTAATTTCATCATTCGCTGAACTTTCACCCAAGACCAAAGTATTTTCCTTTACAAATGAGAAGGGTCATTGCACGCACCGACAAATGAGATACCGTTGTCGGAATAAACATCAACGGGCTTATGTACCTCCTCAAGCAATAATCAGTCGATGCAACGCTAGTAAGTTACCCTCACTAGTTAATTCGCCAACGAAATCCAAATAAATGGTTACATACACCTTCACTAGCCTGCACACGCGACCCCGACGACTAGCACACAATAATAGGCCCGGCACAAACAACGCCAGCGCTCTCAAAGGGATAACCTGGACGAAGTCGCTCTCGTGGTAAGTTGCCCAGTATAGGACTAACTACCTGTCCCTTCATACGGTGACATGAAACACACTTATGAGAACAAGCCTTCGCCAAGTTGCGACCTCCTTGGCCAGTATGATTCCCTTATGGGAGCTAATAGCAAATGTGGGCCAGTGTGCATTAAACGTCTATGCTCGAAATTAAATAATTATTTTGTAAAGTGATGTGTGGACTGTAATATAAGGTGTTTTTTATTAAAATGAGACAAAAAAAATGTATTGTTTCCTATGTGATTTAATAAATCCTAATGTAAATAAATTATAATAACGACTAAAATAAATGAAATCACTTTTCGTATCAATGATAATAAATCGCGTTCACTATGCCTAGCCAAGGACTCGCTCAGACTTTTAGGAAACCCTAAACCATCATCGGAAGAGACATACCGACCCAGACCAAGTAACTTGTCGGGCTCGTGAGGTGCAATATCTACGTCAATCGAAGCTGGCAAGTCCCGCGAGACTAATGATTGGCAACAGTGTGTTGCTTTCTTGAAAGAATCTCCCAGAATTGAAGGTTCTTTCTCACATAATCTTTGTTCTGGCAAATCAAATGAACTAACATATTTATGATCATGGGAAACATCTTTACAAAAATTACATTTCAAATTATTAGAGAGAATCGGACCGGAAACTATCCACCCTAAACGGGTTTCGTACAATATTGGCTTCCCGGAACCTAACTCTATTTTTTGTGATCCTAATAATTTCCAAAACAAGTCGGCGCCGATTAATAACTCAACATCAGCGGGTTTATAAAATTTAGGATCAGCTAAAGTGATATTCGAAGGTATATCGAAATTATTAATATTTATTTCACGGCACGGTACCTCACTCGTGATGAATGGCAAAACCAAACAATGAAGGTTGAAATTAAAACGATCATCCAAAGACGTCATATCAACTCGACATGTTTTACCTACGTGCGAAGTAACATTATTTATGCCAAGTATAGATTTATTTACCTGGCTCGTGAATAAATTAAGTTTTTTACATAACCGTTCCGTTATAAATGACGACGTGCTACCGCTGTCTAGAAACGAGCGAACAACATGCACACAGCCAGTATGATCCCGTAGTTTTATCAATGCGGTCGATAGCAAAACATCACGCTGCGTATGACCTTGAGAGGATGCAATGTGTGCTGACAACGTAACGTTATTCGTGTCTGTGGTAGCAGACGGTACGGATGATGAAGACAAGTTATTGTTAGACGAATTACCACTATGTGTATTCGCAATAATGTTATCTTTAGAATTTATGTGAATTAGTGTGTTGTGCCTACGCTTACATAGTTTACAACCGGCTTTTTTACATTTGTTAGCGAAGTGACCTGACCGAAAACAATTAAAACAAATCTTATAAGTAGGTAGAAGTTTAATACGAGCATCAACGCTCAATGCGAGAAACTGTGGACAATTATTTAAATGGTGATCGTTACTGTTACATTTAGGACATACTTTGGGAGCTGTTTCGATGCTGGAACTATTATGAGGTTGATTAACCAACATCGACTTGATCTTAGGGTTTGATCTACCTGGCGTTTGAGAATTATTATTTGTTCGAAGGCGTTCTAAGTTCTCGATCAAATCGGCTCGAGTGCGTAGGAATTGCATGAACATATCGAACGTAATTGAACTTTCTTTGTCAATCCTACCCTTAAACTCCTCCCATTCACGATAGGTCCTATGATCAATTTTTTGAGTGACGTGGTATATCAAAAAATTGCCCCAGTGCTTTACAGGCTCACCTAACGACTCTAATGCTCGCAAGTCCTTATTTAATTGATCGATTAATCCTTTGAGAGCAACCGACGATTCCTTTGTAACCGCATCAATGTGATACAAGGCAGACACATGATTTTGCGCTAATAATCGTTTGTTGTCAAATCGATCGAGTAACAAACTCCATGCCACAGAGTAATTGCTTGAAGAAAACTCAATTGACTTGATGATGACGGCAGCAGGTCCCTCAAGAGAGGCTCTTAGGTAGTGGAATTTGTTAACCTCATCAATTTCGTCGTTACTGTGAATTAGACTAGTGAAGGTATCACGAAATTCCAACCAATTGCAATATGACCCGCTAAACTTTGGTAATTGTATCGTTGGTAATTTTACTGGTTTGTGTATGCTAGCAAGTGTACTCCTACAGCTTTCCATCGACTTATCCTCTTTGTTACTGTCATTGAGAGTGGTTTGCGCTCTGGACAACGCTTTGTAATAAAGTGACTCGAACTCGGTACGCTCGGAATTATGTACCTTAATATCGTCAGCAATGCATTCCAGACGCAACTGCACCTCATCATATTGTTCGTACAATGACTCCATCCTACCCATGCGCAACTGCAACTCGGACACATCACAACTACTTAATACTTTGTCCTTGAGTGAGTCCAGGAAGGTGACGAAAGCAGTCAAGCGACCCTTAAAGCTGCCGCGCTTTTTAATTAAATCCCTTTCCTCGGACATACTGGGAGATGAGTATCGTCAACCTGGAATTGATATAGGAATACAATTAACTTAGAAAACAATAATGATTTTAAGACAGACCTAACTGTGTTTTATACACTGCCGAAATGCTTTTATAAGCGACACACAACCTACAAATTAATAACAATTATATAAAGATTAATAATTATATAAGCTAAAAAATATTGTATAATTTCTCGTAAAACTACCCACAATTTATAATGTTGTAAACTTTTATATAAACTAAATAAATAAGCACAATTAATTCAATTAAATACTAATTCCTATTTATTACATTAATGAATCTAAATTACTAATAACTTGTTAATATTTTACAATGACTTGCACTAATATCTAACACTCAAATTATTTGTATTATGTCAAGATACCTGCTAATAATTATATCTACTTAAGCAGTTATAAAATTATGTGAAATAGTTACAGCTTTGATTAAATTAAGTTTAAATGATGTAGCAATTAACTAACTATACTGCAGTGAGTATAATTTAAACTTAAGATTTACTGTTAAAAATACTAACCACAATTAAACAAAATATCTAATGATTCTAATGATCAAACAAATACAATAAGTAGTAAAATAAATATTACTGACCTTAAATATAATTTACTTATATACTACCTGAGTGTTGGGTGATGATATTAGTTACATAAAATACTGTACACCGCTAAAACCATTTGTTCGAACTCAATCCAATCCACCGGCAAATCTCCACGTCACGGTGGAAAATTACAGTACTTGATTCCTCTTCAAATAAAATCGCTGATCTCCTCTTTAGTTATAGGGTCATCCGGCTCGAAGGACCATGTACGGAACCAGGGTTGATGTGGATGGACTTAGGAAAAATATACTCGAACACGGTTTTAAATTAATTAACTTTAATGGGTGCTAACTACAAGAGTTAAGTATTGCAAGTGGGGTAATTTTCAGAATTCTTCACAATTTATACATTTCATGAGCGTAAGTTGTTGCTCTGAAAAAACCATCAGGCGCGCGAACAGCCAGTATAGCACTACTGTTTGTCATGGTTTTTTTTGTTGTGAGGGGAAAATCATCAAATGACTTCTCCCCCCCAGAGCCAGGCGAGAGGGAGTGTCAGACTCATACTGACTAAAAACCCCCCTGTTCCTTCTCATGCTCTGGGCCGAGGTCGCGGTTAACATATGCGCTTACCCCGCAACCCCGTAACGGTTTTTTTTTTTTTTTTTTTTTTTTGTTTTTTTTTTTTTTTTTGTGAGGGGAAAATCATCAAATGACTTCTCCCGCCCAGGGCCGGGCAGGAGGGAGTGTCAGACTCTTACTGACTAAAAACCCCCCTGTTCCTTCTCCTGCTCTGTGCCGAGGTCGCGGTACCTCATTGCGCTTACCCCGCAACCCCGGCTGAACATCAGCCCTTTAGGGCCCCGTCTGTGGTGGTCGAATGGCTCTTTGAGGCGCGCGCGGAACGCTACGCGCCGTACGCTCGGGCCTGGTTCTGGTCGGGCGGCAAGCTGCCCTTACTCGCCGACCGCAGGCCCGTACTTACGGTGGCCGGAGATCGTCCCTCGATCCCCGACGCCCGTAGTGTCGCCAGTTGCGGCTGCTGGGGCGTGAGGAGGAGGATTGCTCCCTCACGCGGGCCGCCTCTCTCTTTGCGAGCATGACTGCTTCACAAAAGGAGGAGACGGCGTCCCAGTTCCTCTCACTCCGCACCATGGCCTCGACTAAGGCCGGGCGCGAGAGGTCGCCGCCGCCGATCACTTCCCTGAGGATACGGCGGTGCTCAGCCCAGGCAGGGCATACCGCTACCGTATGCTCCACCGTATCCTCTAGGTGGTCCTCACAATGACGACACTCGGGCGTTTCCTCCCGCTGAATCCGAAACAGGAACCTACCGAAGCTGCCGTGCCCGGTAAGCACCTGCGTCAGGCGGAAGGTGAGGAAGCCGTGGCGTCTCTCAAGCCACTCCTCAAAGAGGGGTCTTACCGCTGCTATGGTAGCGTGCCCGGCCCTCGGTTGCGACAGTCGTTGTTTCCACTCTGCCATGAGATCTCGCCGGAGCTCATTCCGCCACGCACTAATTTGGCGCGGCAGAGGATCTTCGCCCCGGCGACGCGCGTCTGCGCGCAAACTGTAGACGCGAACCCCGTAACGGTGGAGTGGGTATTATCACAGTAGACGCTTATTCATGATTTATGATATTGAAGAAATAAGACAATAGATTATTCAAATATTTTATTATGTTCATAATATCACGCCTCACTTATCGTTACAGTAACTATATTTAAGTAGTCAATTAATAAATACTTTATTACCTAATTTATTTTAACTTATCAAATACAATTTGGTCGTTAGATATAAATAAATACATAATTATTTTAATAAAAGATATAAAAACGGTATTTTAAATTATGTTTCAATCAATCTATTGTATCTTCAGATAGTCACTACTCAAAAAAGATCCAGTTATTTTGCAATGCATACAGAGTATAATACACTACAAGTATCGCCGTCCCTTTCCTAGTTACCGTTTTTATTTTTCCCTTTAACTTAAACACATTAAAATATGAGACAAATCAAAGATCTTAAAGCAGTATATGGTTGGTTTTTCTGGACTACCACTGAAAAAAGGTTAAGGTAAAATAGCGAAAAAAAAATGAGTTCTATAATTAGGCAAAGGACTTCAAATCGGAGAAGAAAAGTATACCTTTGGTATAAATTTACAAAGCCGCCATTATTGAAATATATTAGGTAATAACAATACAAATTTTTCAAACACTGATAAGTCGTTTCTCTTCTCAATTCATTTCCAATCAATCTTATTGGTTTTCTGTTAAGGATTCAATTCGGCTGAGTACACGTCTAGTAAGAACTTCTTGTAGCGTTCAACGTTTGCTTTATAAACTAGTCTTGTGTTAGGTTCTGATGAGGAGAAATCATTTGTATTCAAACCTCGACCTTCACCTGAAATACAAAAAAAAGTGTGTTCCAAATTTAAATATATTATTAAACGTATCTTCATTACTTTACACATCACTAGCCTATGACTTGTAAGCAAAGGCCTCTGCTGACAAAAAGAGGGTTTGTATACTGATCGCTTGCTCAAAGCGGATTGACGATTTTAAACTTATTTTTTGAAATTATAAGGTCCAGTGTTCTAATCGATGTTTTACCTCGTCGTAAGTCAGTCATGAAAGCAAGTACAGACATGATCTTCGAGACATTAGGCGGTCGAAAATTCAGGGCCAATTCGTACTTGCTCAACGTCAGAGCGTCGTATAATTGGATATTATAATTTCAGGTTTTCTGACAATGTTTTCGTTCACCGTATGTCAGTGTTGTCTAAATAATTATAGAAAGTAGGTACATATAGGTAGGAAAAATCGCAGTTATCGCTAGTTCCGAACTTACCAGGTTTCGAACCCATGCATGAGAAGCGGCGCCTTTACCTTCGGGCTACCACGACGTGAAAACTTTCATATAAACTTATAACATTTGATTACCTTCCAAAATAATACTGTTGTTGGAATATTTGAACTCCTCGACGATGTCATTATTAAGTGCAATGGCCGCCACAGCCGGGTCTAGTTGAGTCCAAGAGACTTCTTTGGTAATTGATATACGTTCAAACATGTTCAGAGATTCCATGATAGGTGTGTTGACTTTTCCCAAAACATTTTTCCGCCAATCCTGTAACAAGTAATAATATGACGATCCGACAAACGAGCAGGATTATGTAATAGTTAGCTATCGGCGCTATTCATGGACACTCGGATCGCCATAGGGGATTTTAAGATTCGGTAGGGTCGGAGGGAGGGGAAGTATTGGGCCTCCGGTCAAAACACTCTTTGGTTTTTATGGGATAAGTCGGCAAACCAATAGACCGATGGTAAGCAATCGGCGCCACCCACGACGACACCCGCAACACCATTGGGATTACGAGTGCGTTGCCGGCCTTTTGGGCATAGAGTTGTGGATATTTAAAGATTGGAAAGGAATAGGGGAGGGGGAAGGATTGGGCCTCCGGTAACCTCACTCACACGGTGAAACAAAACGCTGTGTATTTCACGCTGGTTTTCCGCGGGGCCGTGGTATCCGACCCCTTCAAAACCTTGTACGATAAAGTTTAGTCTGTCAAGAATGACGTCTTGTAATAAGATAAAAAAAATTGTATTCACACACAAGCAGTTCACATTTATTTCATATTAATACCCGGCAAAACAATTTGTTGGCAGGCGTAACTCCCACATTAATATATAAAATTAGGATTATATTTATTATCATGTAATTTTTTTAATTTGTGTATATTATAATGATGGTTATGTATAATTCTATAATAATAAATCTGTTTTATGAGAATTTTAATATTGGATTGTTAACGTTCGTTTGTACAGTTGCTTACACACATAAAGATCGATTCTACACAGAGACACTCTTTATTATCACACTTTATTATAAAGTTTTAATGAAGACATGCCTTTTGTGACTTTAGTCTAATTAATAGCCAAATAAGGTTTGTATATTTATTGAATGAATCCAGACATCTAAATACTAGACAGCTGTGCAAGCAATTTCTGAATTGCAATAAATGTCGTAATCGAGCTCCACTGGATTTAATAACGTTTTCTTTTAACACCACATACGCCTTTAAATACTCTTTATTGAGATATTTTGTAAATCGCGTGAAACAACCACAGCGTTGTGTTTCACCGTGTGAGTGAGGTTACCGGAGGCCCAATCCTTCCCCTCCCCCGATCTCCCCCAATCCCTAAATCTCCAAAACCCTAATTCCTAAAAGGTCGGCAACGCACTCGTAACTCCTCCGTTGCTGGTGTCCATGGGTGGCGCTGATTGCTTACCATCAGGTAATCCGTCTGCTCGTTGGCCGACCTATCACAAAAAAAGGACTAGTTTAAGAAGTCTTAAGTAAAAATAAGCTAGTACTTACAAGGGATATATTTAACGAGCTGTAAACTTGGGAGAATGGTACAAATGTTACTTTATCCGCTGCAGCGCTGTCAGCCACAATGTGGTACGCTTCAGGGTCCATGGCTGCGTTGAATTCGGGTTCAGAATGTAATTCATCTAGAAATTATACATATTTTAAATCACTCAATCTGAATGTAAACAACTTTAGGCATAATTTGACACATTAAATTCGTTCTATTCATGTTTATGAATAACAACTTCAAAAGTAATTTATAATCATTATTTCAGCTACAATAGATCTACTGGAGATAAGAGGCGTATTTTTTTAATCTCAATACTCTATGATTTTGGGTACGTTTACGAACATACGATTTTACATAAACATGACACCCAGACCTGGAACAACAATTTGTGGGTTACACAAATAGTGGTTACGTGCGGGAATCGAATCAAAAAATCGCGGGGATCGTTGCACCGCAGCCGGTTGCCCAGCGCCCGAGCCAATCGTGCAATCAATTTGAATCAAAATAAAATTAATAGGTTTCAGATACTTCTGCGAAATTTATAACTAAATATGATGATTACATGTAGCTTGTCTGTCATTATTGTGGATGGACGTAATTCATTGATTGATTGACGTAATTAGTTAAGAATGTTTCTAAACTAGAAACAGTAACACTTTATTTGACGCGGAAAACTCATCTATACACTTCTCCCTCTCTGAGTTGGGTTTTTTTTTTTTTTTTTTTTTTTTTGTGAGGGGAAAATCATCAAATGACTTCTCCCGCCCAGGGCCGGGCAGGAGGGAGTGTCAGACTCTTACTGACTAAAAACCCCCCTGTTCCTTCTCCTGCTCTGTGCCGAGGTCGCGGTACCTTATTGCGCTTACCCCGCAACCCCGGCTGAACATCAGCCCTTTAGGGCCCCGTCTGTGGTGGTCTATTGGCTCTTTGAGGCGCGCGCGGAACGCTACGCGCCGTACGCTCGGGCCTGGTTCTGGTCGGGCGGCGAGCTGCTCTGAGTTGGGTGAGAAGAAGTTTCAGACTAACTAGATTAGAGAACCACCCCGTTCCTTTTTCACCTTTGAGCCCGGTACGTTTAAATACTCTCTTTGGTTACAAAATTACTTACTATGAATATGGCCTGCTCCAACATATAATTGCGATAGTCTTGGTATAAATTCTGGGTCCAGTCGGGCAGCTAGTGCAATGTTGGTGACTGGGCCGATAGCTACTACTATCAATTCTCCTAAAATAATCACAAAAATATTAATATTGCTAAAAATCATCCGATCCTTCCCCTCCCGCAATCCCTCCTGATTTACAAAATTACCAAATCCCTAATCCTTAAAAAGTCGGCAACGAACTCATTACTTTTCCGTCGTTGCGTTGGGTGTCCATTGGCGCTGATTGCTTACCATCAGGTAATCCGTTTCCTCGTTTGCTGACCTAAAACATTGATAAAATTAAAATAATTGTTAATATATTATTATTTATTTTTTCTACAAACAATTGTCTTAGTGGCGGACTTCATGTATTAGGACATATTTAAATAGCCCCATAGGGTAGTGTAGAGAAGTCAAGTGGTTGGCGAACTTATGAGACACTGTATCTATAAAAAGAGAATCAAATTAAGAAAGAAACAAACACGACGATAATACTTCATCACTGACTTGATGCATAATACAATTGCAGTAAGATCAAATCAAATCAAATCAAAATCATTTATTCCAACTAAACCATAAATAGGTACTTTTGAAACGTCAAAATAGAATAGTAGTCTGTCAGTTTGTTTGTCAGTGAAGCTAGGTGCTCGTAATTAAGTCTCGTCTAAGAATAAGTTAAATGGAAATCAGAATTAAGAAACTAAAACAAATTAATAACAAATACCTTCATATTTCTTAGAAAGTTCTAGAAGTGCCACAGCAGCTGGTTCCTTTTCGATATCTATTGTCAATGGAGATTCATAGCCAGTGTCTCCTAACCCGTCCATTCCATAAAAGTAATCAGATTCCATATCTGACACAAGGGCTTTGTGAGCGCCTGAGTATATTGGTATCTATAACGTGAAAAACATTCCAAAAATTTTAATTACTGATCATGGATTTTTCATTATAAAGTACCTATGTATAATTTACGCCGCAAGTGGGGATGAATAGGGCACACGCTCCGAAGGGGTTCTGACCACATACCCAAGCAAGCCTTGGATGGGAATTCCCGAGGGAAAAGAAAGCGTGGCCGTCCACGGCAAACCTGGCGTCGCACCGTACTGGCAGAAGCGACGAGCATCGGTATGACGTGGAGTGAGGTGAAGCGTGAAGCTCAAGACAGATCGCGATGGAGAACATCAGTGGACGCCCTCTGCCCCATCTAGGGGACACAGGATATTAAGTCAAGTAAGTCATGTATAATTTTAATTCATAGTATTTTTTGTAATATTTTGATGCAGATTAGGATTGTCTTCAGTGTCGTGGGTGGTTTACAGACATACAATTCTAGATACAAATGTCATCCGGACCTGAAATAATAATTTATGTTCTTCCGTACGGTAATCGAAACGATTACATGTTTCGCATCAGCCGGTTGACCAAACACCGCGCCTAATTATGAATTAGTATTTGTTTTGTTCGAAAACTAAAAAATCCATGTTAATGTATAGCTTATATAAATATAGTGTTATTTTTTTTTATTTCAAGGAATTCGTTTGTCATTTTTATATGAAGACGATGATACGACTGCAATATTTATAACGCTAGCAAAAATATTTATCATTAAAGCTTTGTATATGTAACCAATTTTATTATTAGAAATTAGCGGACCGCCCCCGCTTTCATCATCATCAGCCTATAAGTGCCCCTGCTGAGCAAAGGCCTCTTCTCATACGGAGAAGGTTAAAGCATTAATCACCACGCTAGCTCAATGCAGGTTAGCGATTTCAAACTTATAATTTGAAATTATAAGTCCAGGTCTCCTCACGATGTTTACCTTCACCGCCCCCGCTTTGCACGAGTCCAACTATCTCGCAAACAACAAAAATGTCACTTTATCCCAATTTTCCCCTGTACTTTTCTAAAATTTTCTATCATAAGAACCTTCTTCACAAAAAAAGAATTAGCAAAATTAGTCCAGTCGTTACTGAGTTATGCGCTTACCAACACATTTTACGTTTCATTTTTATATAATTAATATAATCTCTTATATGTAGCTTACAATTATATCATTATACAATTATTTTATAATATTTAATTATACACTCAATTAGGATTTATACTAATAGAAGAAAAAATGATCATATTTTAGAGAGAGTCACATTTGAATTGTAATTCTGATGACACCTACTTGCAACAATATGTCGTTACTTTTACATTTAAGATTAAAACGATGACATAATATGACATGTACACATACCAGGTGTGTATAAAGATGATCTAATAAATAACATTTTTAAGATGAAATTTTGATGATAGATAGCTGTAATCTTATCATATTGATACCGGTACTTACATCTCGTCTATCACAGAGTGCCAAAAACCTATCACTGTTGATAATTGCTTGCGTGAGGTTCACGTTACCAAACGTTGTTGTCAAGGCAACCAGTACTGGGCTGAAATAGAAGAAATTCGTTATGGAGCTGATAAATAGAGAAAATTTTGATTATATTGTGTTTATTCATAAAGTCCGGTCGCGGAGCAGGAAGAAATTCGTACAATGGCCTGTTATTACCTGTCTCTGTCACTCTCGCGTAAATATGATGCGTCTCGCTCGCACAAATCCAATGACCGCGGCACTCAGGGATTGTGAACCTTTAACCTACTACTGTAAAGTCTGTTTTTGTTTGTTTGTGGTTGTGGTTTTTGGTTGGCCTTAAGTCATGACATGGCTTACTTGACATAATTTATAAATTTTTAAATTCCATCTCGGGATGCGTTAGTGATCGCTCAGTTTTCGGACAGTAATCTCAGTTATCTTAGTTTGTTGTTATTTGTTAGTTCTCTTTTGTTAGTTCTCTTTCTGTTTTGTTATTAAAATTAACAATAAAGAAATAATTTATTTAATAGTTTGTATTTTTTTTCTCCTTCAAATATTATAAACTGCACTTTATACAAAAATGTTTGTGACCACTGTCAGTAGGTAAAGAGGTCATTGTACGAATTTCTTCCTGCTCCGCGACCGGACTTTAGTGTGAGTGATGTTAGTGCAGACCAAATCCATTCTTCTTATTTGCAAATGCACTTGTAACTCTACTTATTTGTGGATGTCCACGGACGCCTTCGAATGATTACGGTCGTATAATAAACCATCTTTGTCAACCTACATACATATATATACCTTCGAAATAATAAAAAATAGTCCTTTTATTATGTCGTCATTATAAGAAAAAATTGCCCTTACGAATGAGCCCCAAACGTAATATATTTTCTAATAGGTAATCCAAGATTCTATCGTCTCCAACTAGGTGCGGATGCAAATTCGCAAATCATTGCGTCCATAGATGGTTTCCCGTTACTTCCCCTGCATGGTTTTTAGTCAGTAACAAAGTATTGGGATGGTTTTTAGTCCGTGAGAGTCTGACACTCTCTTTTAGTTCCATCCAGGACACCATAGTAATATTATTTACATAATATTACGCAGTTGGTTACAAGTAGCCACATCTAATTAAATCGTGTTAAAAATCATGACAAGAATTCTGTTCTAATTCATCTTCGACTTACCCATCGAAGTATTTCTCATTGAGCAAACTCATTGTAATTGCGATGGCGTCATCAGCTCCGCCATCATGGTCTATCACCAATTTCTTTCTGGAGTTCACTGGACTGGCTTCAGGACTAAAAATGAAATAAAGTCAAAGAAACAAAACAATATAAACATTTTAAATTTTTCTAAAAACGTTGGCCCCACGAGGATGTTTTCCTGTGTCGTGGGTGCGGTTACAAACATACAATTTCACATACACATCACACCCAGACCCGGAACAACAATTTGTGGTTCACACAAAGAGTTGTTCCGTGCGGGAATCGAACCCGCAACACGTTGCGCGACAGCCAGTTGCCCAGCCACCACGCCAACCGTGCAGTCGAATTCAATACCACCATCACTTTCCAAAATCCACTAATCCTGAAAGACAGGATCTACAGTGGATATAACCATGAGAACACCTTAACACTGAAGACCAGCACTCCTAATTGAATAGAGAACTGTCTCGGATCCCACGATGAATCATAAATCAAAAAATATTATTTGAAAAAAATAAAATTATCACTGAACCCGTTTGTTCCGCATACAATTCGTAAATAAATTAAATAAAAAATTGTTTCGGTAAATTTCTTTTTGAATTTAATTTAAAATTAAAAAAAAAAAACTTTTTGTATTTTTTTTAATTACTTCATTTCACATACATATCTTTGTATCATACATAACTTTGTTTCACAAATCAGTTAACAACCATTTGAATTCTTGATCGCGACTTAAATTTTTAAGAAGGTGTTTCTTATAAATTTCCTGTAAGGTAACTACTTAAAATAAGACAAGTATTACATACGATTATGTAGAACTAAGTTCGAATGTTTGAGATGACAAAATGTAGTTTTTAGGAAATGTAACTTTTTCATATTTATATACTTTATATTAATTACAAAAATCTTTCATATACTCTATATTTTTGCTATTTAAACAGTCACGTGTTTAATCTAAACAATATTATCGTGGTTGCAAGATTTTTCCCAGTTTTAAGTTTATTGTCTATACAAAGTAATTGGTTATTAAAGATGTACTTAAACTCCACACATTTATTTCGAATTTATGTAACAAAATAAACATTTATTTAATACAAAGTGTTTTTTAACGAAGTCATTTCTTTTCTAGCCATATTGTGTTGTCTTAGAATTGGGATTGCGGGTGCAGGCGCTAAGACAGCGACTCCGTATCTTAGGAGAAGGAACGGGGTATCTTTAGTCAGAAAGAGTCTGACACACACTCTCGCCTCATCCAGGTTGAAAGAAGTCATTTGATCATTTACCCCACCCCTCTTAAAAAAACAATCATTTATGAATACTGTTTAGGTAGTGGTTATGACGAACCACTGACAATGCCTTCTCTGTATAAGATAGTTCCGCTGTACTCTTGGTCTAGCAGTAGAATAACAGGCCCAGACCACCATCAGCCGGGGTTGCGGGGTAAGCGCAATGAGGCACCGCGACCTCGGCCCAGAGCAGGAGAAGGAACAGGGGGGTTTTTAGTCAGTAAGAGTCTGACACTCCCTCCCGCCCAGCCCTGGGTGGGAGAAGTCACTTGATGATTTTCCCCTCACAAAAAAAGACCACCATCAGATATCACATCGTAAAGTCCATAACGAGAGACAGGATCAAACTAAAGCAACGCATTTAATCTCACCTTCCAATCAATGAAACGATTAACAAAACAAAACACAATATTTTATGAGCCATCATGACGAGGTTTTTGTCTAAACAAGACACACAAGGAACTGGTCGGCAGACGATTACTATTCATGTTTTATAAAACTTTTTTTATCTAAATATAGATAAAAATTCAATATCAGTTCGCGGGTTCGAACGGGTTTCAATATGAAACTAAAATATTTTTCTATTTTTAATTTTATATTTACAAATAAAGTGCCCAAGGCACTACTTTCTTAGCATAAACGGGAAAACTCAAAAAATATGAGGAGCAAAAATTCAGTTTAATAAACTGATAAGACAAAAAAAACAGTCACAATCGTCAGGCCTGCAGGTCAAAGGCCTTCCTAATCTTCTTTTACACTTTTCTGTGTAAAACTTTCTACAGTATTTTTGGGAATAACTTCTAAATATATTATTAAAATAATTTATTATATTCGTGTATTTATTACGAGTAGATTAGTTAAAGCAATAAATTTTGTATGTACTTAAAAGTAATAGAAATCATTACTTGCAAACACAATTGCTAATGGAGAAAATCGCTACTCAGAGTGATGGTAAATCACTTCCAGATTGATAAAGATAATATATTATATTGTCTCTTATCTTCTAAAACAATTCATATACATTTATTTCAACGTCATTGTGCGATCGAGGTATGCTAAAATATTTATAATATGCGTTATCGAGTAATATTTTTTTTGCATCCAAATATAGTAAACTCACCTAATTGTGTGACTCACTTAATTCGGAGATTCCACGTTTGGACTCTTTCACAGCGTTATAGGAGTAAAATCCAATACATTAAAATTAACCCTATGGTATGGTAATAAATCTTCTTTTCGTGTACAAATTTTTGTTAAGATCGTGCGAGTGATATAGTAACAATCACGGAATTTGTCATTCCGCCCGCCATGTTTGACGTTTCACGGTAGCGTGCGACTGTGCTGTCATTATTTAATTAATTTTAAATAGAAAAGGTGAGTGTAAGTTGATGATACTTTGACAATTAGTTGTTAAAAGCATATACTTGTTGATTTTATGTTAAAAAATAATAAATACTCTCTTAATTCGGTTATAACAGAATTAGAAAAGTACTATCACCGAATTATGGTGTTTGTCACAGAATTAGACAAGTCATCGCGGTTTGATTAAGCTCATTTTACGCTGAGTTGATTCATATATATTAAGATTACACTTGCTCATATGATAAATAGAAGACTGATTAATGTTCCTATTAAAAATAAAAATAAAATTTATAAAGTTTAACCTGTTTTTTTTTCCACATTCTTTTTTATCACAGAATTAGATGAGTTGACCCATAATCCAAAACTGTGATCCCTAATGGTTCCTACTGATCATACTCATTTCCGATATCAAAAAATAAGCATCTTTGGATAAAAAATAATAATAAAAGAAATGATACCTTTGTTATTATAACAATTGTGAAAAATTGGACATTGAACATTGAACTGTGATAATAGTTGTATGTTGGTAATAAATAAATAAATAAACACGCTGTAGTGAAAATTCTGAACAAAATAGCTAAATCGTAGTTATACGTTGTAAAGTCTTATTTAGGTAAGTATGTACATTTTTACAGTTCAAAAATATAATTATTATATTAATAATTTGTTCTTATTTAGCGGGGAGAAGGTCTAAGATACATTCAACATAGATGGCGCTTATTGCTTATCATCACGTGATTCGTCTATTGTTTGCGCCCTATTCCACAGTAGAGGGAGTTTATTAAAAACTATCACAGATTTACAATTACACGTGAAATTATATTTATAAAATCATATAAATTCGATGTTCTCAAGTTCTTACTTAAAGCGGTTCGATTTGATTTCAAACAGATCACAAGTTTCTAAATTTAAATCCAATAAAAAAACTACTATCACAAACCAGCCTGACAAAATTTGAATGGTTCCAAACCTCCTTTGAAGAGCCATGTCTTTTTTATAATAACTATCGTGAGACATACTAAATTAACTAAAAATCGCGGGTTACTATTGAGAATATAAATATATATATAATATAAAATATACGGTTATATATTGAGAAAAGCTCTACTAGTTTCGAACCACAGAGGGGTTCTTCCTCATGAGCATTTTTTGTTAATTTAGCCATGTCTTTGTTTAGCAATACATATGTATATCTCAGTTGATAACGGTTGCGGAGGCTTCCTGATTACTTTTCTGTTAAATAATTAAATACTCACTCTTTGTAATAAAATATGAATCCTAAAGCAATTCCCACTACAATCAATAACGTCACCAGCGGGATACCGATGTAGACGATTAGCTTCTTTGTTGCCAACATGATTTATTGCCACTGAAAATAAAAACATTTGGAAGAATTTAAAAGAAGAAAATTAGTTCTTATAAATGTACCATTTATACACCTAGCTAAATATAGATAGGAAAGATCGGATCTCGGGTTGAGCAAAATTTATATAAAAGTAATACTAAATGGGGCTTTTATTAGACCAATAAAAAAATACATTCACAATTTTTGTCTGTATATCACCAACAGGTGTAGTTATGCAGCAACAGCTGCATAACCAAAAACTCATGAATGGAATTTAATGCAATTTCTAACGGAACATTAATATAATGAGTGTTACTTAAAATTATGTCAAAATTTTAGTTATATTATTACCTATATTTTTTTATTTCAATAGCTCATGCTGCGTGGTATGTTGATAAAAAAGCTATGTGTTCATCCAGGGTATATAACCTTTCTACATATAAAATTTGAAATAAATCGATAAAAACGATTTTGCATAAAGGAATAACAAACATACATACATCCATAAATTCTCACAAACTCTCACCTCCAAACTAAGATTACAAATGCGAAAGTAACTGTATCTGTATGTCTGTCTGTCTTTTCTTTACGCCTAAACTACTGATCCTATTTTTGTGAAATTTGGTACAGACATAGTTTGGCACTCGAGAAAGGACCTAGGATAGTTTTTAAACCAAAAATCTGCAGGAAGTCACTATTACCTTACCTATTAAATGGGGATAAATGTAAAAGTCAAAGTCAAAGTCACAAATCATTTATTCCAATTAGACCCTTACAGACACTTTTGAACGTCAAACTACATTTTGGAGATATAGTGTCAGTCTGTCGGTCAGTCCTCTTAGTGAAGCTATTTGCTCGTTCCAAAGTGTAGATTTCGATGGAGAAGAACAAGCAAGAAGCTCCAATGCGCGGCCAAAAGATAGTTTATACTATTATAGTAGGATACTACTATCGTCTATGGATTATTAAAATTTGAGTAAATATTTACTTCACTCCATACTGAAATCGATGTACGTCACTATCTAATAATAATATTATTATTTTTGGCCAACATTTAATACGGAAGTATGTCATCACTACTTGAGAAGCCGGGCCGGGTTGCTAGTTATTTAATAATGGTTATCATTATTGGTGACCACGAATTGTTACATGGACGAAATAATCTGGCGATTGAATTAAACGAATTATACTCCAATTCATAAAGAGAAGCTACTTTTTTGATCATACGTACATGATCATACAAAAATACCACTCCCAATAGTTTAATTAACGAAATTTCTGTTCTCATTTTAAAAAACGTATATACAATAAAAAATGACTCATTATTGAGTTTCACGCTCGTTCTTCTCCATTAGAATGTACACTTTGGGACGAGCAACTAGGTTCAAATATTATTCTAGTTCCTTCTTAAAGCCCGGCAACGCACCTGTGACTCCTCTGGTGTTAAGGGTGTATATGGGCGGCGCCGATCGCTTACCGGCGCGGCGGTGATCCGTCTGCTCGTTTGCCTAAAATATATATTTCTTTACAATGGAAAATTCTCAATTGACTTCTTCCGCCGACGGTAAGGCGAGAGAGAGTGTCGGACTCTTACTGAGTAAGTAACTTTTTATTTTTTTTTTTTTTTTTTTTTTTAATATTTAACTGTACATTTTTCCCCCCAAGTTACTAATGCTAGAATATCATAAAATACTAAAAAATAGCTTTCAGTAATAAAACTAAGAATAATCTCGTTCTTTGCAATTCAATATTGATTTTTTGTCAACAGATCAAAGTTCAAATTAGCTAAGAATAAGGGATTTTAAAACCGGTAAACTTTATTATTAAAAACCTTCATGAAAAAACTGTCGAAATGATATAAATTTTTATCATTGAATAATAAAATAACCTACTAATTGCAAACTTAGTTGTAAATTTGGTAGAAAAATACAAGCTAAAAACTTATTAAAGATCGCAGCGTAATATCCCAAGGAATATACTTAATTAGTAATACTTTTCCTGTCCCCAAATACATCTCATTAAAACAATATAATTTAGAATAAGGCTAGACTTCTTATTAAAGAAAAAACTTTGCAGACAATAGCTGAAAAAGTTGACAATAGAATATCACATTAATAAATACCCGTCGTTTCAAACTGGCTAATATGGAAATCATTGAGGTAGACCTATGTATGTTTAGTTAAGATATTGCGCGAGTAAAATATGATGAGATGTAATAAGAATGATTACAAAGCTTCGTCATGCACTTTCGATGATTCACAAACGGAAATTTTATGACCTGATAATATATTGTTTATGATAATAGTAACATAATGATGATAGTATATAATGCATAATGGTAAGATAAAATTGAGAGCAGGTATTACCTTCAAGAGTTTTTAGAAGACCAGACACTCAAAAGACGACGTAGATCTAATACGTTCTTAAAATAATTTAAAAACATTAATATTTAATTTCACTATCTTCAAATCTAATCTTTTCATGGTTTTGTTATCATTGACATCAATGAACGACTTTAAAACGTGAATCTACTTTATTAAAATTCACTTCCTATTGTCACTAAATATTTAATTTAAATTTACTCATAAATATTATTTTATTTTCGCCACAAAAAACACGTCAATTTTACATTAGATTTACACGTTCACCTCGCTTATTTACGAACAGATTACACAGTAAATATAAAATTAAATTATAAACAATTTTGTAAGGAAATAATTTCACAATAATTATGTAAACAAGTTATCTCAGAACGTTAGCACTACATTCATTATCTGATTGCAAGATAAGACTGAGTCCTTAGTTGGTGTGTCTGATAATATAATAAATTGAATGTAGCTCAATTGATATTAATGAAGCGTATATTTTGTCTGGACGTCAGGGACCATCAACACTCTAAATTTTTATTAAGTACTATCTTTAGAAGCCGTTATTAATAAATCAAGAAAGTTAATGTTTAATACATTAACTTTCTTGATTTCAATATCTCGTTCAAATATGATATCTTAAATTATCATTGTGCGTAGGATATATGTAAATATAAATATTTGAATGATTGTTTGTCACTCACACGCTAGATAGATAGTAGTCTGTCTAAAGACGTTAATTTTAGGACCGTTGAACTGTAGATCTCTTAATCCTAAAATTCTAGCTAACCTCAAAAGGCTGACGACGCGTTCGTAACTCGTTTAGTGTTGCGGGTATACATGGGCGCCGTCAACTGTTCGTTTGCGAATCTATTACATGAGGAAAACGTGCGCTTAATATAGGATTCCGTAAAAATATAAGTGTCGGAGAGTTATGCTCGTCACGAATGGGTCGACCGGAGTGTAGGCGGCCACGGCCTCACAGAAAACCGGCGTGAAACAACTACAGTCTTGTATGTTGCCGTGTGAGTGAGCTTACCGGAGGCCCAGTCCTTCCCCACCACCAATTCCTTATCCCTAAAATGTCGGCAACGCACTTGTAACTCCTCTGTTGCTGCGGGTGTCCATGGCGGTGCTTATTACTTACTAGTCGGTAGTCTGCTCGTTTGCCGACCTATCACTTATAAAAAAAAGAAATATAATCTAAAACAAAAGAAAAGGAAGTCCAAATTAGAGGCAGACACTGGTTTTAAATAAAGACATTCTGTGATTTACAGATTTGCCTACTCATTATACGATTGAAGAGGAATTAAAGTTGATAAGAAACTCACATTGAGTGACGTCATACACGATTTTAAATGTCATTCGCATTTGTTGTTTGTCTATCAGGTTTGAGATGATTTGATGAATTTATTTACCTAAATTAAAGACAAACGGGTTATTAATCAGAGTTCAATATGAGAAATGACTTCTGACGGATAATTATATGTAAGTTCTTATTTTAGCTCTACACGATTTACCAAACACCAATTCAATTAAGAAAAGGCATGAGGCAGGGAGACGTGATTTCGCCGAAACTGTTCAAGGAATCTGTATGGGAAACTGATTTAAAAAGAGTAACCATGGAGTTTCTTGCTCGTTCTTCTCCATCGGAATCTACACTTTGGAACGAGCAAATAGCTTTACTGAAAGGACTGACCGACAGACTGACACTTAATGTGTTTAAAATTTTTTTTTGACATTCAAAAGTGCCTGTAAAGCTGTAATTAAAATAAGTTATATCTGATGACTTTGTTTACCAATGAATTGAAGGACGTTTTTAAGCTCTTAGACTGGAGCGGACTAGACATCAACATCAATGGCGAATACATCAATAGACTTCGTCTTGCCGATGATACAGTTGTAATGGCAGAGTCGTTGAATGACCTGAACACTACGCTCAGCAACCTCAATGTGTTTCCCAACAGGTGGGTTTTAAGATGAGCATACCCTACAACTATACCTCACAGAATACCGGCGTGAACAACCCACAGCGTTGTGTTTCGCCGACCGGAGGCCCAATCCCTCCCCTTCCCCTATCCCTTCCCAATCCTTATATCCGCAACCCCTATCCTCAAAAGGCCGGCAACCTACTCGCAACTCCTTTGGTGTTGCGGGTGTCCATGGGCGGCGCCAATTGCTTACAATCAGTTAATCCGTCTGCCCGTTTGCCGACTTATACCATAAAAAAAAATAGACAAGACGAAAGTAATGTCAAATACCCATGTTGCACCTGTACCGGTTATCGTTGGAATATCCTGAAGTTGCTACTCTCGCGCGGTTTTACCCGCTGCTCGGCTCCATTTGATTGTAGCCTGATATTTTATAATAGCACTAAAGAGCATTGTAGCTATCGATCAGTGAAAGAGTTTTGGCAATCCGACTAGCGGTTCCAAATGGGGTAACCCATATATACAAACTTACAAATTTTACCTCTTTATAATATTAGTATAGATCAATCCCCTGTGGACTGAACTGTAATCGGCATTATTTCTGAACCGATCATCCTTCAAATCTTCAAGAAAAGAATACATTAATTCTTAATAACTTGTAACAGATGTGCTAGCAACTCCATTGGTTTTGTGTATGTTTAGGTGCGACTCTAAT